TATTGCTTGTGTTTCCTGTGGGCCTGGTATGTCTGCAGGTCGTGAACGAAAATGTTCTACTCGAAGCAATTGCATTCAGCCCTAATCTCATGGCTACCATGTCTCGTTTTTTTGCCGAAAAAGGACAAAAAAGTGTTTGCTTGAAGGTTAATGTACTTTTCTAACCTCTTATCATTCGCTTCAATGCTAAGCACCAAATTAGGTTTAGGGTGCAGCGGAAGACGTGTGGCATATACTATTACTGTATATATACGCGTGACATTGTGGCAAGCGGCATGGTATGTGGGATATCGCACATGTCGCATGCCCTTAAGTGAAGAATGAAAGTGCAACGCTCGCCGCTTATCCGTGTCAATTTGAGGAGTGAAGCTACGATGTGCATCTTATGCTTAATTATAGCTTGTCCCGTTATTGCCATCTACGCCTCAATGTTGACACATCATGAATTAAGACTGAAACTGCGCGTCTGTTTCAATTCGCGTGCATGGTTCGATTTTCTGGCTTCAGTTACGAGATGCGCTTGTTTGATTTCCGGGGTTTAAAATTTTTATTTAATTATGTCTTTTTCCAATTAATTTGTATTTTATTTAACTTTGAACTGCCCAGCCGTCTAGGTAGAAAACAATGCAAGGCAGGAGGCAAAATTGTATTCAAATTTAATTATGCACCATGTCAGTGCAAATGTTCCGTATTTCTATGATGAGAGGAAAGTATTGATTATTTAGCCCTCGAAGATCATAGCGATCCGCGATCTGTCACGTTTTTGTCGTCCTGTCTTGGTCTAATGGCGTGGATTGATTTTTAGCCTCAAAATGTGCTAGTGTCGCTCGTGCTGCATACAATGCCGAAATAATGCTCTGCGTGCGCAGCTTAGGTGACGCTGTTCTAAGGTTATCCTTGCGCCGGGGCAGGAGGGCTCCTGACGGTGCCGGTGACGGCAGAGCTCTCGTCTCTCTGCGTTGTATCGGTGTTGGTGTCTGGGCGTAAGCGAATTAACAGTGCTGGCATGCCTCAAATGGTCGCTTGTCAAACGTACTTTCTTCAAAATGTCACGTGTGTCATTTTGTGGCCGCTTGTGCTACTATTCCATAAATTAAAATCATTCAAACTTCTATTCCTCAAACTACTATTCCTCAAACTACTATTCCTCAAACCTCAATTCCTCAAACTACTATTCCTCAAACTACTATTCCTCAAACTACTATTCCTCAAACTACTATTCCTCAAACCACTATTCCTCAAACTACTATTCCTCAAATTACTATCCCTCAAACTATTATTCCTCAAACTACTTTTCCTTTAAGCTGACACTACTATAAGACTACCAGTCCTCAAACCACCATTTGCCACTCAACCTAACCTACGGTACCGTCAAACAACGTACCTCTCCTCTCCTACACCATTCCCAAACGCACGCAAAGAACCGGTACCATTATACACCTCGGATGCTTGCCTCGGAGAATTATAATAACCGACGAATAAATGCCTGGGACACTCTGAGGGCGTCGAAATATTCATATGTATGTCATGATATGTGCAAAGATGCACGGCCACCAGGAAACTTCAGAAATATTTGTTGGGGAAATTTTTTTTCATTTTGAACTATACTTGTGGCAGTTTGATGGCGACTAGCCATATGTCGCAGTGAGGCGTGTCTTCGAATGGGCTTATTTGCCTTTAGGTGCACGGGATGGAATGGCTTGGCCCCAAGGCTAACTCCTCGAGCGTGGGGCACCGGAAGCTCTGCTCTCGCTCGCCGTGCTTCTCTGCTTCTCTCAAGCTGGCCTCACGCCATGCAACTCTTTTTCTTCTCCGCCATATTTGTCAGGAGTTAACCACCACAAAACCCCGGATTTGTTTCGTATAAGCATTTTATCGAAGACTCATTCACAAAAAATAAGCGCACTCACGTAGGTGCGTAATATCTTAATTTAGTGTAGCTTTGGTGTTGGTTCTCGTGTGCACCAGAATCAACGATTGAATCGAAGTGTGTTGACCAAAAGAAGTTATATAGCATCGGTGTCTTTATGGTTAGCCTTCGCATATTTCGCATGGTACTATTTAATGCAGTGTCTCTCCATTTGGAATGAATTAACTTTTGCTCTTATTTTACTCCGCATATCGGGTCTAGCAAATGTTAGCTCATATTTGACTCATTCACAAAAAATAAGCGCACTCACGTAGGTGCGTAATATCTTAATTTAGTGTAGCTTTGGTGTTGGTTCTCTTGTGCGCCAGAATCAACGATTGAATTGAAGTGTGTTGACCAAAAGAAGTTATAGCATCGGTGTCTTTATGGTTAGCCCTCACATATTTTGCTTGGTACGTACTATTTAATGCAGTGTCTCTCCATTTGGAATGAATTAACTTTTGCTCTTATTTTACTCCGCATATCGGGGCTAGCAAATGTTAGCTCATATTACTTCACTCATATCCTCTAATTTTACACAATTATGGAGCCTATACATAGATTTTCAAATTGCATGCGAGGCCGTGCTGCGGATTGAGGGGCGCCCGTTCGATCACGCGAAAGTAGGAGGGCATCTTTAAAGTGACGGCATGGCAGCGCTCCCCTCGTGACTAGGCTTCCAGCTGTGCTTTAATTTCAGCAGCAGGCTTGCACTCGAGCAAGTTTGGTCGTTAGTTTGAGTCGCTGGTCCCCGAGGTGTGCCTGGGCCGGAGTATCCTGCTGGTGCTGGTGCACGCTGCAGGAGCTGCTGTTAGTTCTTCGTGTTTAATACTGTTGCTCTTGTGTGATGAAGGTTGTCGTTTTTTATACAAATCGTTCCGTACCGTTAACATTACTTCACCGAATTTCAATCTTTTTGCACAACACTTAATCTCTTCTACTTATTATGTTATCGTTACTGCACGTCATCTGGTTTATAAAATCTTGGCAGTATTATGCGCAGTAGTTTTTTTATATTGAGCAGTTAGCTGTTGCATAAAAGCATTTGCGTTAGTTTAGTAGGTAGCAGTATTAGTTAGTTCAGGTGTAATACATGTACGAGTGCTGCTTGTCGCGCATGTTATTGAGGATGCTGTTGTATGCCGCAACACTAGTTTGGCGAGTGTTGTATGAAGCTACTATTTCATTTTCATGCATTACTTTGCCCACTTGTTGGCTACGCGCACTGTTGATTAAGTCCGCTATTTGTCAAGCTGTTGTCTGTTACTGGTGTTGTGGTCGCTGCCCATCTATTTTCATATTATTTATACCACCACTCGTGCATCACGGCTTCATTTGCGGTACTACAAGATCGTTCTTTAAACTTACATCACCCCCAAGATTGATGATTTAATCAATTAAAATTCTTGTGGGACGTACCATCTTGCAGCTGAGCTTTAAAATGCTGGCAGGTCATCTATACAAAAATAAGCTTTGGGTCAATGGCAGCTCTAGTACGCGCTCTATGCCCTGGCTCGTGCTTCTTGTAAAGTGTAAACTGATCGTGTGAAATACTGCCGTGCTTTACATCAAACAATTGCTGTGGCTTTTGTCTTTCAATGGCTGTGTTTCTTGCCATACAACCGCCGTGCTGTACACAACTGGCGTGCTGTACGCTGCACAGCTGCCATGATGTACGCTGCACAGCTGCCGTGCTGTACGCTGCCGTGCTGTACGCTGCACAGCTGCTGTGCTGTACGCTGCACAGCTGCCGTGCTGTACGCTGCACAGCTGCCGTGCTGTGCGCGTGTACGGGCGGCGTGCGTTCTGAAGTTGACAAGTTTTGCCGTCGGTCGCTCCATCCTCTTTAGCTTCGCTTCCTGCAGCCTCTCTGCTCATGGCCCTTCTCCATGGCGTCGTGAGTGCCGATTTTTGTTCTAACACTCAACTTTTACGAAATATTGTGCGTTTGATCCTCCATTTATTCGCTCAGCTGACTGCCAAGCGTGTATATCCCCCAACACCAAAGAGCCCTACGCCGACTGCACAGAATTTCAGGGATGCCGAAGTAAATTCTAATCAGAGGTGTTTGTCGCCAGCATGCAATGATGAACAAACAATGAGATTCATTCTTTAGAATTATAAACCCAGTTATCAGAAAGGAATTGTGATACAGTGCAGTAATTCGCTGGAAAATGACGCAGATCCCTGCGAGGTGTGAATGACTCGCTGCATAATTCATGCCCCGACCCTCAAAGGCATCTTGCAACCCAGACGCCTTGAAACAGGAAAGATGACCTCGTTATTTCAGAATGTATTTAGTAGAGAAATCAAATAATAATCGAATTCGCTACAAAGTCGATTCACAATAAGAGTGTCGGTACGGCGATCTCCCCTATAGCTATCAGGAAATTAGAAGCGCTGGGTGAGCTTCCCTGCTCTGTTCTGTGGTCTGCAGGACGCACTGCGCGGTCAGAGCAGGAAGCTTTATTTTCATAAAGAATATAATATAGATTAGTAATGAAAGAGAGCAATTTGATGGGCGGGCCTCTCACTGCTTTAATTACTACTTCAGGAGCTACCGACAGCTTGAACGTTCAAACGACAAGCTGTCTCTCCTCTATATGGTGCTAATTTTCGATCACTTGACCTACTAACCCCAAGAGTGACTCAAATTTCTTTAGACGAAATTTTTTGTGATCGCTATTGTGACAATCGGTAAAGATTATCGCAGTTCTTACGGCCAATGTTGAGCATGTCGGTGGCGGCGGTTAGTCTGCTGCATCGTCTGCAGGCTCGCTGCCTCCCGCATTGATTTTTTTGAGTGGCGCCACAACCCGTCCCAGCTGGACTATTCAGAGGCCCGCTACTTTATTCTTATAATTGAATTTTCGTCATTTAGTTTAGTTTAGTCACTTTAAATGTACCTACGTTTTGAAATTTTGAATTTTTTTGCAATACATTCCTACATTCATCTTCTATTACCGCTTTTTTATCTTGGGTAAATTCCATTTTTTTTTATCAATTGTACGTCAATATTCGACTTTCTTTGTGGTTTTCTGTTCAAGTGTTATTATTATGGTACATTTGTCTTTTCTTCCGTGCAGTTACTGTTGAGATCGTGTCCGTGAACTCTATTCCCTCTGACCACATTATTTCATGTGCCGGTAGATGTTAAATTTACTTGATATGATTCGGTTGCTCTCGGAACATTAATTAAATTCTCAAATAAGAATACGCGTGCTCTGAATACGTTTATTTATATTCAGTTATAGGGTGAGTGTTTCGAGTGTTTCTAGTGCCGAGTTGTTAAGCGGTCGAGGAATAATAGTTGTATGTGCTGTGATCACTCATTAAGTTCAAATTGTGATATAGCGTGGAATTGTGTAGAAAGTTAAAGAAAGTTAAAGGCAGGGAAAGAGTCTCGATATTGAAGTTGTGGCAATGAATGTAAAATCGATGCTGAAAAATTTTCCGTTGATTTGAATAAGTAAAAGATTGAGTGTTTTTAATAGTCTTGAAGCGAGTCACATCAACATTATTCTTGTCATTGTTCTGAGGAAGATTACTTATAAACCTGATCACAGAATGAATGTTTTACGATCGACCTTGTTGACGTGTGGACGCAATCAACGGTTATGTATATGAAATATATGAACACAACGTTGGTTCAGTTCATCAGTATGCGTTGTATTGAGACTCCATTACTCTTGAGAGGAACATCAGGTTTCATTTTGACCGGATTCACCGCGTTGAGGTGCCAGAGCCTGTAGCCACAAGTCCCCACCAGGATGGACCACCAAGTGAAAGCCATGGCTCCATCCAGAGCCCCGCTGTCCCGCACTCATCTCTTCAGGTGATTACTTGGGATCTTTTCATTCAAAAATTTCCATGCCGCATGTTAGTTATTCACAACTCTAAGTAATATACAGTTCCATCACCATGTTCCCCTTATCAGAGGCTGGAGCGGCTCTGCATTAGGTTTGGGTAGTCGTACAAAAAAAAGGTTCATAACAATTGATGTGCGTTTGTGATGCCAAGCCCTCATCCATATACGGCCGCGGTCTCACTCTGGCTTGATATGAGCTTATGATAGCCTTTTGGTTTACTCAGCGCGTTTGGGGTTGCATTTGCATATCTCCTTGAAATTTGAGATGTTAGAATTAAAAAAAAATAATGTAATAATTTAAAGTTTAAAATGGGATATCTGAATTAAATGAAATAAAAAAATGGTGTCAATTATGTGCTTATTAGTTAATAGCGATTTCTAGCGATTTCCATTTGAGTGCAAAATGTGAGATAAAAATTAGTTTTTATTTGAAAACTTATTACGGTGCTATTGCTCTGCAGTTTGATGTAAGGCAATTTATTCATTGAGACCTTGGTTATATCGTGGTCAGATTCTTGTGGCAGCGACAACGGTTTGAGAGCGACGAGCTGGAACGTCTGTACCGCCGCTATACCCTCAAGCTGCGGCAGGCGAGCGTGTCGGCCGCTACAGCTCTGCTGCTGGCCGCTGCTCTTCTGCTGGCAGCGCTCCATGTCACATACGACCACGTCAGTATCCTTGCTCCTTTCTTCTTATTTATCAACTAGATACCAGCATTTCAAACTAGTCTTTTTTTAGCATTAGCCACACGTTCGTCACTCTTCATGGTAATTGAATTTATGACTTTTCCTACACACCTGAACCACGCATACGTGTTGTAAGGCACAGAAGTTGCCATAGCCAGGAATGAACAAATCAAAGTAGCATTTACGTATGCCACGTAACCGAAGTCAGCTGGAACTTCGCTCTGCCATGTAACAAATAACTGTACCATATTCACTTCTCGCACCACATAACCCGCGGCTCATGTCACTTATCATCTAATTTACACAAATTATTATGTTACATTATTCACTACGCAACACTTGCCACGTGTCATATAAATTACATTTATGTTCTTAAAGCATATGATTCTTCATGTAAAAGGAAATTGTTTGTGCACCTCAATCCTGCTAGTAACATAAGACAAACCACTCGTGTGTGTGTGACTCAGAGTGCCTCGCCTGCACCCATTACGCTGCTGGGGGTGTCGGTGCTGCTGACGGCGTTGCTGGTGCTGCTGCAAACGCGTCACGCCAAGCCACGTCACCTCCTGCCTGCCTGCTGGCTGCTGCTCGCCCTGGGCGCCGGCCTCGCCGCCGTCATGATGCCCTATGCCCAGGTGCTCTCCTCCGTCCTTCTTGTACTATACAATGGCTATTCATCGAAGGGTTGTTTGTCTCTGTGTGCTCGTGTTTGTTGCGTCGTTTTTAAGATATGTCTCAAGTGCTTTTATTTGGTGCATATCAATCATGGTTTCCTTTCAATTGATTGTAGTTTTGTTTTACATTAAATTTTCCACATGAATGGATCAGACTTCAGTTCAATTCATGTGCATTTAATGAAGTTTCGAAATGAGTATATCTCGCTTGATAATGTAGCAATCATTCCTATTTTACTTATCGTATCTGTGAATATTTTTTATTCATTTCAAGGGTAAACTTCTCCCTTTTTGATTAGTATTCCTTAATTAAGTACTAACACTTGTTCGCAAATGTACCAAACCAACGTGCGTCGGCACTGAACGGTTCAGATGTCGCAAATCCAAATGCTTACATGAACGTAAACCTACTGCAAATGATTCAATGTCATCACGAAGATGATTAATGACTACATATTAATGACAGGTAACTCGAGCATGAAATGCTCATTTTAAGACTAGCCGATGAAAAATGTTGATAAAGTGACATCAAGCATATGAATTATCAAAACAAACGCTCAAACCAACAATCTGGAATCAATACACGGGAAACATGCATATGGGAAGGCAGTCCTCTTATTGTTGAAATGGTGAAAGCATAGCCTGTAAATTAGTAATATTCTGCATTCAGATGTTTGTAAGAATAATCTTTTCATGTATAGAAATAATGAATCAGCAATATATTGAGGCAAGAGTGCCCGCACCAAAGAGTTACCGTGCGATATGAGTCGGCTTCTATAAACGTAGAGAGCGCGCCATCCCTGGTGGCTGCTGCAGGTCAAGGCTTGGCTCGCTGGCGACGGCCTCGAAACGCCTCAAACCGTCGCTCGATAAGCGCGTACTCTTCCGGTCGATGTAATTGCCGAACCTCACTCTTAAACTGGGGTTAACTGGCTGTCAGGCCACCAACTTATCGAGGCCGGCATGATGATTGTGTGATGTCGGGTGCTGAGGCGCTGCTTGTGCGTCCTGTAGCTTTGTGGCGCAGTGTCGGTCTCTCAGAGTCTGTAGGAATCATCACGAGCCTGAGGCAAGCGCTCTGCAAACTTACATTACACTTGCCGTATACTAGACTAACGAGTGGCACTTTACGCGTTCTCGCAAGAAACGTTTATACTTTTAAGTGGCACTAAAAACTTTTTTCGATTTCAGACTCGACTTGTAGTTGTTTCGTATCGTATAAAGTTCTTCAGGCATCAGTTTTACGTAATCTTAAGTTTGACCAAAAATGTGTAAAATTTGTGACGTGCCCGAACATGGATGCGACTTGAAGCTTTGCCACGCCTTGAAGTGGCCTTTTTCTAATGGCGCATTAGTCTCAGTAATAAATATTAAAACAGCTTTGTGTCACCTTCAGATGTGGGTGTGGCGCGGGTGGCAGCGTGTGAGCACATGGGGTGAAGGAGTGTGGGTGAGCGTGTTCGTGAGTTTCGTAGTGTACGCTCTCACCCCGCTGCCGACACCCGTGGCGCTCGTGTACGGCTGCTTGCTGCCGGCGCTGCAGCTGCTGCTCGCTGCCCTGGCCGCTACGCCGGTACCACATCTCTACTGGCATCAGGTCAGTCGTATGCATGCTCTTTCTATTGAATGTTCTTTGAAAAATATTAAGTATTGATTAAAATAATGCATTTAGTATATTTCTGGATGTTTCTTAACATTAATGTCGTTCAATTGAAGTTTACTGGGAGAAAGATTCATTTTAGAAAATAGATGACTTGCAACCCATGTGCTCTGACCCGAAACGGATGGATTTCCAGCCTGAAATCGAGCGAACTACTGTTATAACTCGGTTGTGTTCTACCTGGCAGGGTAGCAGATGTTTCTTCTAATGTCCTTCAAGGCTTTCAAAATTTTTTTAGAACAATTTCGGAAACAACTTTCGAATCATCAGCTCATTTTGGTACCAGATTTCCTACCATCATCCAGCGTTCCCGCCATCCTAGTGAGCTCAATAGCGTGTGTGACGCATTTCAGCTGCTCAATTTTCTGTTTTGCCGCCAAGATTTTGCAGCAGCTATGTGAGCGCAACTGTTGCTAGCACCTTCCGATGCTATACCACGCAATGCCCGCGCTCTACGAGCCCGCGCACTGCCTTTTATCGAATTTCTTGCCTCACAAGAATTATCTCCTCTTCCGTCTCTTCCACACATCCTGTCCTGGCAGTCCTTTCACGCCATCCACAGTGGTGGACCACCAACAATACTTCATATTAGTCGTTAATTGTTAGTTTTATCTGAATTTCAATTTTACTGCGCTAATAATTACATTGAGTGGATGTACCATTCGAATTTGATTGTGGACCGCTGGAGCCAGGCTGTGGGCGTGTGTCAACTTGAAGTAGTTGCCATGCAGATGATCATCTGTTATAGCATAAACATTTAGGTAGATGAAAATAACTACCTTGAAATCGTTCATACCATGAAAGCATTCATTCATTCACCTGGAATCTCTTCGCGTAATTGTCTGTGAACCACTGCTCAAGACAGACGACTCATTCCTAAAAAGTGCCATCCTCTCCTGCATGCTCAGTCCAGGTGCTTTTTGTTGAAACTGTTTTCATAAACTGGGCATATTGAGCTATTTCGCTCAACTGGAGCTATAGCCGCCGGGAGCTTTTGTGAATACACCTCAAAATTAAAGGTTGTTTATTTTTTCTAAGTTAGCAATTCATGACCATTTAACCTCGCTCCATCCTGAATAACTATGTCTACCAAAGCTAAATTTGCAGCAATCTGCATTCATAAATTGAGTCATGTTTGCTCGCCGTGCAAGCATTGATGAAGATGGCAGTGCTTTAGGGAGTCGAGGTTCACGTCTCGCGGGTCGTAGCAATTCAGGATGCTATGTATACAGTAATAATGTTTTGCCATCCAGTAGTTTTTGCTGTACCGATTTTTAGTGTATTTTTTATGATGTTGTCGAGCTATCGTCTTTTTAGCGCATTTTCTGATTAATGGAAAAAATGCACTATTGTGGTAGCCATGTCCGTCTGTCTGTTTGTCTGTCTGTCTGTCCGTCCGTCCGTGACCACGTTTTCGTCGATGAGAAAATGCGCTCTCTGTCACTCACTGCAGTGAGTACTGAGTTATATATTTTTTTACATTCCCGGGATGGTATTTCGAGATAGAATTGCCTCTTTGCATCCGCGGCGTCGTGACGTCCTTGTTACGTCTTCTCTGCAGCGTCCGCCGCCCGCGCCTGATGCAGGCGGGTGGTCGCTGTCCCTGCTGCGCCTGGTGCTGGGCAGGCTCCTTGCCTGCAACCCAGCCATGGGCTTCTGGGTTAATGAATTAAGCCGGTGTTGTCACGAGTGTGAATGCTGGTTGTGTTCCTCCTGGCAGTCCTGGTTTGTGTTGCCACTAGTGTCAACGCCCGTTGTGTTCCTCTTGGCAGTCCTGGTTTGTGTTGCCACTAGTGTCAACGCCCGTTGTGTTCCTCTTNGTGAGCGTGTTGCTCTCTCCAACAGCTGTGAGCGTGCCTGGCTCTGCAGTATCTGATATCGCTCATCAGGCTTACATTAACTGCAATACATTTTTAATGCAACCATCCTAACACGTGATGCTCAACAGAGCGAATGGCCGTTACCGTTGCTGCCCGAGTGGGTGAAGTATCAAATATTGAGCGCGCAGTAGCTGGTGAATGGTGCGTTTGGCGCGCGTCTTGGTTTACTGCCGAGTGTCGGGTGACAGCAAAGTGTGTATGTGGTGCGCGGTGCTACGCACTGCATAAGCGAACACTGTGCATTACGCACCCGCGGACCGCAGTTCTTGAAAAGATCGATTTGGTACAATAACGTTGTTGTCTCGCACTGCAGAGTCAGCTGTTATTTAGTTGCCATTAAGTACGAGTCCTCACAGGCGAGCGTAGAAATATCATTCAAGGATCCAAGTTCAGCGATTGTTGAATTTCGAATGCAAGAGCTTTAATAATACAGGGTGATTCACGAAAACTTTCTGATTTGAAAGCGCAATAAAAAGGGAACTACATATTAAAGATATCATTACAATTTAATTTATTGAAAAAATATTTCCTGAACTTTTGTATCATTTGGTTTTAAAGATGACAAAGGACGGCCTCTACTGTCAATACATTCAGTTCATCGATTTTTGGTCCGTTTAACTAGAATCATTCTGCTAGTCGATTCAGGTCCTTTCTACTCGTTGAAGCATATTTAATTGACGGGTATGTTGATGATGGCTTGGCGTATGTTGTTCTTCAAATGAGTTAGGGTCCTTGGACAGTCATTGACAATTTTTTTAAGATGACCCCTTAAAACATCACATGGAGCCAAATCGGGGGGATGGGGCCGGCCTAATTAAGAACGTCACCTCTCAAGAAGATGAGGCGCTTTGCAAAATGTTGTCTCAGATGGAGACAACTCTGCTAAACAGCTATTATAAAAGTACGTTTCGACAGCAAACGCACGCTGCTCACTTGTCCAATGCATAGTGGCAGCTTACTAGGCAGGGTACAAAACTTCATAACCTTGCCTTTCATATAAAATACTTCCCGCCCCTTTGCAACATCAGGCTGCTTGGCGCGAAAAACAACACAAAAATTATCCGTGAATCACCCTGTACTACGACCAATAGAGTGCAAAACAAGAGGCCGCACATAATCCTAGGCCATTTTTGCTCAACAGTAGTTTGTTTGCTGCCGAGCTGTCTCAACGACGGCACTTAATTGGCAAGTTTCCCTTTGACGGAACGGTCCATTTTAGTTGTATCCCACGTGGCAGTTCTGGCCGTTGTTTTAGGAATCGAAATTTTACAATTTGAGATGACTGACCTTTAGACATTGGTGGTGCATCTACGTATATGACTATGTCCCAAGCGTGTTATCGATGCATTTAAAACATTTTTAGTAATGCCTACTGTAATACAATGTTAGCGTTAATACTCTTAATTTAGTCATTGTTTCGGTTAATGTGCGTCACATCTTCACTTTGCTCAGAAGATTTATATTTCTGAACTGGATGATTTTCTGAAAAAAAAATTGAAACGTAGTTTCCAAGTTAACGTAGAAAACCGGCTCACTAGTTTACTAGCTACAACAGTGGGCTTATGCCATCGACTCATGCACCAGTTTATCAGTGATATGCATTGCACTATGTATAGCATTGGTTGGTGCCATGCATGTCACTGTTTATGGCATTGGTTGGTGCCATGCATGTCACTGTTTATGGCATTGGTTGGTGCCATGCATGTCACTGTTTATGGCATTGGTTGGTGCCATGCATGTCACTGTTTATGGCATTGGTTGGTGCCATGCATGTCACTGTTTATGGCATTGGTTGGTGCCATGCATGTCACTGTTTATGGCATTGGTTGGTGCCATGCATGTCACTGTTTATGGCATTGGTTGGTGCCATGCATGTCACTGTTTATGGCATTGGTTGGTGCCATGCATGTCACTGTTTATGGCATTGGTTGGTGCCATGCATGTCACTGTTTATGGCATTGGTTGGTGCCATGCATGTCACTGTTTATGGCATTGGTTGGTGCCATGCATGTCACTGTTTATGGCATTGGTTGGTGCCATGCATGTCACTGTTTATGGCATTGGTTGGTGCCATGCATGTCACTGTTTATGGCATTGGTTGGTGCCATGCATGTCACTGTTTATGGCATTGGTTGGTGCCATGCATGTCACTGTTTATGGCATTGGTTGGTGCCATGCATGTCACTGTTTATGGCATTGGTTGGTGCCATGCATGTCACTGTTTATGGCATTGGTTGGTGCCATGCATGTCACTGTTTATGGCATTGGTTGGTGCCATGCATGTCACTGTTTATGGCATTGGTTGGTGCCATGCATGTCACTGTTTATGGCATTGGTTGGTGCCATGCATGTCACTGTTTATGGCATTGGTTGGTGCCATGCATGTCACTGTTTATGGCATTGGTTGGTGCCATGCATGTCACTGTTTATGGCATTGGTTGGTGCCATGCATGTCACTGTTTATGGCATTGGTTGGTGCCATGCATGTCACTGTTTATGGCATTGGTTGGTGCCATGCATGTCACTGTTTATGGCATTGGTTGGTGCCATGCATGTCACTGTTTATGGCATTGGTTGGTGCCATNACACATTGCTCATGCGTGTGTCTAGTTGGACCACGCAGCCCACCACGTGAAGGCAGCCCTAGCCACGCACGCTGGCAGCGGCTACACAGGACAAGGCCGCGTTGTTCTCACCGCACTTCTGTCTCATATTAAACAGTGCGAGCAAGTTACACGCCTCATGAGTGTATGATGGGCCTCATCATACTCACGCCTCATGAGTAAGTGTGATGAGCCTCGTCATACTCACGCCTCATGAGTGTATGATGAGCCTCATCATACTCACGCCTCGTGAGTGTGATGAGCCTCATCATACTCACCCCTCATGAGTGAGCATGATACACATCATACTGTATATGTGTTAAATAATACGCTGATCCAATTTTAAAACCGGTTTTCTGTCGTTTTCTTGAAAAAAGGGTTCCATCTCGCGCTTAAAAGTCCTGCGCGCGCGTTTAATGGCCTCCACTTCTGTCTCAAGTCTCACACGCCTCTTCTGTGTCCCGTCCACTTGTCTCACTTTGAAGTTCGTGACTTTGAAGTCTCTCATGCTCGTCTCAAATCAACATGGTGTTCTCGACGAGACAGTTTACGCATTAGAATTTTAAGTTTACGCAATGCTCGTACTGCGTGTCTCATAAGCATCAGCTCCTCACGCACGCCACGGACATTACGCTGGTGACTTCATATACTGGTGCATTCGTGTCACTTCACGCACCTGCTCTTAACGTTTGTGTTCATCTCGCACTACACGCACTAGCACTCGTACTACACGCACCAACACTCGCCCTACACGCAACAACACTCGCCCTACGCGCACCAACACTTGCCCTACAGCCACCAACACTCGCCATACACGCACACATATTCGCACCACAAGCCCCAACACTTGTCCTACACGCACCAACACTCGCCCCCTACACGAACTCACATTCGCACTACACGCACCAACACTTACCCTACACGCACTAATACTTGTCCTACACTTACCAACACATGCCCTACATGCACCAACACTTGTCCTACACGCACTAACACTTGGTGCGTGGAGAGCGAGTTTTGATGCGTGTATAGGGTGAGTGTTGGTGCTGTGCGTGCAGCTTTGGTGTGTGTTTGATGCGTACGTGCCGAGTGTTGGTGCTGTGCGTGCAGCTTTGGTGTGTTAGGTGCAGGGTTGCAGCACCGGAAGCGGCTGCAGGCGTCGGCCAGCAGCTTCTCCCTGCATTGATTTTGTCGTGCCGTGTGAACTCGGCTTGTCGGACCGACGGCTTCTTCTTCAGCTATTTTCATCTTGCAAATCTATGTCGAAATTTAGGTTAATGTCTTTGCCATCAAATGCAATTTGCGATAATTTTTCTATTATAAAAAATCTGCTCTTTTCGTCATTGTTACTGAATTCACGATGCTCATGCGCCCTCATGCATCATGATGCTCATGCGCCNAGGCCGGTAGTTAGGCTCTCCCGCGCTTGTTGTTGCGGTGTCACTAGGAAAGCGTGGAAGAGAACAAGAGATGGCGCAGATTGGATAGAAAGAGGAAAGGGAAATGGAAAAGACAGCAGGAGAGGAAAAAGGCTCATTGCGCATGATTGGGTTATAGATAAATGGGTTTGTTTGGGATTGGGGGATGGGGGTTTGTAATCCGTCATGGCTTTGGATGGTTTAGGCGGGTGGGCCATGAGAGGATGGTGTTTTTTTAGCTTAGTTAAATAAAAATACAAAATATCTGTAGTCTTACTATTTACACGTGTTTTAGTTTTTTTTCATAATTTTCATTTTTTTCTCAGATTATTTAATGAAAAGAGGGAAGTTGATGTTGATGAAGTTTGATGATGATGAAGGCGGTTGGTGAGTCGCTCGAGACTCAGAGGAAGGTAGAGGACATGTTGGTTGGTTTCGTCCCAAGTTTTCGGTCGCGTTTGTACTGTACGTCACTCTAGCCGAGTCACGTCAGTCCGTCAGCGTGATGATGTCTCTGACGATATGTGTTGTTTTGGGACCAGCTACACCCAAACGTGATTAGAACAACTACGTCCGGGTGCAGCATGGTTCGCTGTGTATTTATTTGTACAGGGTTGGAGGTGATGGAGCTGATGCATGTAATTTGGAGCTATGGAATGACCGGTGCTTCTCCCGCGCGCTGGATTGTCTGGTGCAGGCGGCAGTAGCTCGGCACCAAACTTCCTCTAAGCTTGTGCCACGCCCGCTCGTCTATACAATCACATTTAGATTGTCCTAATGAGATTCTTGAATGTTCGGCGCGCTCTATTACAAGTGTTGTGAACAAACATCACAAACTCGTAAAAGGCTTGACGATTGGAACAGCTTTAAGACTGTCTTAGTTGGTCTCACAATATTCTTAATATACACAATTGAACTGGCAACCTTGGCATACTTTTAAGGTTTATTTATTATTGTATATACCAATGTACTCGTGCTAATAATCATGCTTACAATAAGTTGTTAACTCTTGCCTGTATTGTTGCGTGCAGCTGCTGGGTAACGTGGTGGTGGCGGCGTGCGTTAACGTGGCGGGCGTGTGGCTGCACCGGCTCATGGAGAGCGCCCAGCGACGCGCCTTCCTCGACACCCGCGCCTGCATCGCTGCGCGCCTCGCCATGGAGGACGAGAACGAGAAGCTGGTGCGCCGTGTGGTGCTATACGGGTGCCGTGTGATGCTAGACTGCAGCCGTGTGATGATATACTACAGCCGTGTGATATAAGGCCGCCGTGTGATGCTATACGAGTGCCGTGTGGTGCTATACTGCCGCTGTGTTATGCTATTCGGGCAACGTGTGGTGCTATACTAGTTTCGTGTAATGCTATGCGACTGACGAGTGATGCTATATACGGCTGTTGTGTAATACGGGCACTGTGTGGTGCTATGCGGACGCCGTGTGGCGCTACATAGCAGCCTTGTGGTGCTTCATATGTGATAATTCGTACGCCTGCTGCTGTCAGTGCTGCCTGCACTAAACAACGTATTTCTCGTGACAGGAACGCCTGCTGCTGTCAGTGCTGCCNAGTTTGGCTGCCGTTTAGCTGTTTGCATATTGAACATTTATTAATATGTTATGTAACACAAGGGGACATATTGAACATTTATTAATATGTAAAAAAACTTGAATCTTTCTCTTTACATTGGTGTATAAATTATTCATTTTGGATTTATACTTATATAAGTACGAATTCATCAAATTGGGTCCATCATTTAGAATAACACAGTATTGCGCTGCCTTAACTGACGCGGCATCAGTGCTTCAAGTAAATATTTAATTACACCTGGCTTGATATAAATAACACGAGTTACTGCGAGGGGTTTCGCTATTTATACATTGAATGTATTCATGAACTCGTCCACTGAAACGTCAAACGTCAAGCAACCATTCTGTCGAGCTCTGCAACTGTGACGTGTATATAGCGCAGCATGCACAGCTCCATGCTTTTTATCTGCTTTGAAAAACGGCACACGTCGTCGCTGGGAGGGGGAGCCTGCGGTGACGTTTTATATCAAATGAGATCGAGCGCAGGCTACGTCGTGGCTCACTGGCTGGCATACTTTAAAATTACCTATTATTCGGTCCTGCTGTCCAAGCTCAAGTTCCGATATGACGAGAACTTTGTGTTCGACAGCCGCCAATTGCAAAGGTGTTCAATTTACGCAGGATTTTAGAGCGATCGCGTGTAAAGCACACGTATCTGCATGGCATGGAAGTGCTCATTTTATCCGAGTATTGTACGTCTTCAGAGCAGGCTCCTGGCACAGGTTCTATAACTTATGAACATCTACCGCCTCCTATTATCCTATTATGACCTCATCATAATCCTAGAATAAAATCCCGCACCAAACAAGGTTTGCAAACTCTGCGCTGAAGTTGTCGGCCTTAACGATACTTGTGGGAAACTTACGAATGATCAAAAGATTTTTCATTGCGCGTTCAGACCTCCAGTGTGACGGGTTTATTTATAACAAACTAAAGCAGCCATTTTTGACTAGTTAAATTTTTGTAGTCTGAAGTCGCAACTTGGATAACTTTTAGGGTATTATATATGGCGAAGCTTTAACATTCGGCAAATTAAATTTGCGGGACTTATAGGTTTTGACGGCCATAGGTCTCAGGTTAGGAACCTCTTCGAATATTCGAGAAACGCTCGTGGATGTGCTCATGCAGCTTGCTTTTACAATCTTATACTATAGCAACCAACCTGCATTTAAAAAAATATTTCTAAACGTTTGATTATGATTTCGGATGTATTGAAATCTTTGCCAACCACACTTGCTGGTGAAAAAGAACTGTAGACCGTGCGTCTGGCACGCACACCGCTCTGCCCACTGTACCACGCAGCCTCAAGTGCCACATCGGTCCTGTTGCTGTAGACCGTGCGTCTGGCACGCACACCGCTCTGCCCACTGTACCACGCAGCCTCAAGTGCCCCAGCGGTCCTGTTGCTGTAGACCGTGCGTCTGGCACGTGTACCGCGCTGCCCACTGTGCCACGCAGCCTCACGTGCCCCAGCGGTCCTGTTGCTAAAGTTACTGCGTCGCAGCGTCGGCTGCTGTTGATGAGGTGTCGCCTGTTTTTCATTAATTTCGATGCATTTCTACCTGTTATGTCCTCCGGCGATGTTCACACTCCCAGAGCGCTCAACTCGTGACTTTTTTCCCTATAAAAGCTAGAGGAAACAATATTTTCAAGACGTGATATTTCGTTTGGAAAATTGTCATCGAAGTGAGCTCTGCTTTCTTTTCCTTCGTGACCAACACGCGTGATCTGCCCGCGTGTTGTCACTGCAGAAGCAAGCCCCCGCTGTCAGTGTGTTCTGTTTTAGGTCCTGTCACCTGCTCCAAGGGACACGAGCTAATAGCTAAACAAAGAGCAACTTGACTTTGCTTCTGATTTTTCGTCTCGTCAAACGAGACCCTTGAAAACAAACTAAGTGGACGTATTTTTTGCCGACGCGAAGCTCTATTCACGATTGTTGAACCGTTGATCATAATCTTTTTTGTCGTAATCGAATCGAAGTTTATTTTCCGCTTATTATTTTCATAATGTTGACTTGTTGAATATATGTAAATAATTTCATTGGAGTATTCAACAGAATACTGGTAATGTCTTTGTATAATCAGCAACATCCTTCTGTGAGCAAAGCTCTTTCGTGTGCCAACCTAACGCAATATGCATACAATGCTTGCTGTAAATGTGTTGCACATCATAAAATATGGTGTGTTGTGGTGAACACGACATGCACACCGCGCAACATATGGTGTGGTGCTGTCGATGTGATGACGCAGAGGTGTTTTGCTCTCACCCCCTGGGCCACAACTTCTTGTGTCGCCTCATTACCTTTACGAGGTCCCTGCCCGCCTGGTGGAGTGATACCTGCAGTGCGCCTCTCGCCTGTGGCGTGCAGTGCGCCTCTCGCCTGTGGCGTGCAGTGCGCCTCTCGCCTGTGGCGTGCAGTGCGTCTTTCGCCCGTGGCGTGCAGTGCGCCTCTCGCCCGTGGCGTGCAGTGCGCCTCTCGCCTGTGGCGTGCAGTACGCCTCTCGCCCGTGGCGTGTATCTCCGCTGCAGACGCTGCCGAGCTATCGATCCTGGGTGTTGCCACTCCCGCCACTACTGCCGCTCCTGCCACTATATTGCCGCTGCGGCCACTCCTGCCATACTGCTGATGGCCACTACTGCAACTCCTTCCACTCCTGTCGCTCAGGCTGCTCATGCCATTTCTAGTGCTTCCGTCACTACTGCAGCTCCTGCTACTGCTGCCAGTTCTGCTACTTCCACCCATATTACTATTTATGACGCATCTCCTACTGCTGCCACACTTGCCATTGCGCCCACTCCTACCACTCCGACCGATACTACTTCTTATGCACCTGCTATTTGTGCCACTCCCGCCAACATTATTGTCGATCCTGCCACTCCTGACAATCCACACCAGCTCAACATATCCATTACCATATTGACCGAAGCTCCTAATTTTGTACACTTTCTTCTGACGGCAGCTGGCCGCTGGCTGTCATAATAATGCTAATGTTGATCGATGCTCTCATTTTATAGGTAAATTTGTATTCCTTCGTTAGCGGTCAACACTCCGGAATAGGCGCTAGCCATAGATTCTGTGCATTTAAATATCAGAATATTGTAGATAATTATGATTCCCGATGTAGGCACGATGGCATCAAATTTAACCTCATTTAAAATAGTTATTGCTTGAGTCGCAATACGGAGGATATTTCGGTGCGCTGGTTATGCCATCCCTTGTTGTCATTGCCAGCCCGGCCACGCCGGCTATATTTACAGCCCTCGCTGCCGTTGCTGCTGAGCGTCGCTTCTACAAGCATCTCTTTTACGACCGATGGACTTGTCGTGTTGATGGCCGAGCATTCCAATACAACTGGGATTGGCTTTAGCTCGTCGTGCTCCCCACTCTAATTTTGAGCGCGTTTTTGCCCGTTTTACCGCGCGACGTACGTGTGTGTATTGAGGGTAGGCTGTAGACCCTCTAATCCTCAAGGAAAAGTCTGGCACACGGATCACTGTGTAGCGCGTACCTAAGAACATCACATAGAAATGAAAAACTCCCATTGTCGGGCCACTCTAATTTTCAGCGACGGTCCGAGCAGAGTGGACGCGCTTGGAATTTCGCTGCGTTTTTTCATGCACGCAAAATTTTCGATCAGGGGAGCGAAAGGCATGTTGAAGAAAATACAACGCTTACTAAGACCACACGCTACGCACCTGATAAAACCTTAATTATTGATGGCAACTTAGATAGATTACACAAAGAACGATCAGTCGCTAATTATGCGAAATCGTCCATTATAACATAATTATGCAACGTAATAACCAGCAAAGTGACATGAACGAAAAAAGAACGTGCAACAGAAGAGCACGTGCAACTAATGAGCACGTGCAGCTGGTGAGGTGCTGCACAAGCATCACGTGCTTGTGCATGGCCGTCACCAGCCCATCAAGCACGGCCGCCTGACGAGGCGACGACGACCGTCGTGGCGGATAACACGGAGGCGGGGGAGCTGTTCGCTGGGTGTGGTGGGGTGTGGAGTATGACTGTACTCTTACATGATTACTCGTTAGCTCAACATTATTTTTTTGAATGAACACTCCACTCTTTTGCAATCTTTTGAATGAACACTCCACTATATTGGGTACGTATTTCCCTGGCAAACATTTTATTTGGAAGAAATGCAATTGTGCAGAGCACAGCTCGAGAACGCTATAAGTAGAAGGCGAAGCCTAGTTCTCTGACCAGCACAAACAAGCCTCGCCAGCATTTCAAAGCGTTGAATATATAAAACCTGCATGCGGGCTTGCTAAGTGAGCATTTTCGAACACGACTTGAATCAGCAAAAATGAGATATCTGTGGATAGTGATGGCCTTGAGGTTCTCATTTCTTAAAGATATGTATCAATGAGATGCTCGAATCGTTCATCTATACACCTATGATGATGCTTCACTACAAAGATTGAACTCAATAATGTTAACCCTCTGCCGCCGTATGTCACTCTCCGGGAACATAACTTTCAATTTGAATTATATGTAAACTATTGGCAACCTAAGGACGTTTGTACGCAACAGAGAACATTTTAAAACTACCGTGCGTGGCGGCAACCATGTAAGTGCAAGTCATTTTACGTTCACTAGCAACGTATCCTTTTTAGGTAGGCTTGTGTGACAGTATTGCTCCGGTTACTCATGTCAGGCGGTAGAGGGTTAAGATATGACCTGGTGTAGACGGCGGCGTATTGGTTCGGCATCAAAAACATTGCTGACTATCCTGGATGAATGCTTGTGTTAGTATTTTACTTACGCTGCAATTTTCTCCTGTTACTATAATGTTTCCACTCGTTACTTGAAAAGAGTGGGATCGAACACTATTGGACAAAACTTATAGGGAACACGACTGATAAATTGTATTCAAAAGCAAACTAAAACATCAATAAAACATGGCTTAGAGCATTTTTTAATGACAATTTCAAGATTACAATAATATCACATCACATTGCGGTAGCGCCTCAAACCTCACGTCACTCAAACCATCTATAGGTAACGGCATTTGTAACTTGCTACTGCGTCTGCCCAACCCTGGTCACAGGCATTCGTCTGCCCAAAAATTGCTTGCGTCTGACCGAAAATTGCTTGCGTCTGCCCAATTCTGGTCACAGGCGTTACGAACGACGAGGCGAGCTCTGAAATTAGGAAAATGCTCGATGCGCGGTTAAGTGTCTCTAGGACTAAGTTATCACGCGCATCATAGCTGAAAGTGTCCATGAGGTGGCAGCAAGTTCGTCGTAAGTTTTCTAAAACGTTTTTGATCCATAACTTCAAATTAATTAAATCCATGAATGCATTGAGTGAGAAATCTAACTATTAATATAAATTCCATGGGCCTAGTATTTATTAGGTTCTTAAATGAAGAGCAGTAGAATTCAACATCTCCATTACCGCTTGTTCCGTGCTTGCAAACGCAGGATGATGTTCCTGCGTGAAGTGCTAACAAAATTATGATGAGTGTGATTCAGTGCATGGCTGGTGCCGTGACTTAACTGTCCACACCCGCGCAGAGCTTGCCGGGGCCGAAGTCGTGGTAGTAGGTGCACTTCTCTCGCTTGGAGCCGCCAGAGAAGTAGTCTCTCGTGTCGCAGACAACACCAAATTTCAGCACGTGCTTACGCTCATGTTCAAAATCCCAATCGTACTCAGCTAGACTTCCAATTATATAAAGTTTTAGTCCAGAAGCTTAAATAATACCTCGAGGCTGAACAACTTTGTATAGCGGCGTACTTGTGCATTTAATCACCATAAGAGGTCGAAAATGCAGGCGAACATGATCAACGCGAAGCCATAGTAGCACCGTTGTTGTTGATATTCTGTAGTCAGACAGCCAGCAATAACAGGAGCAAGTTTAGTTTAATTGAATTTCGCGCGTTGAATTTTGTGGCTGCAGCTAATTCAGACGTCACCCCAAATCCAACGAGGCGCAAATCAAGTTTTAATTTGAAGCTATGCCCCAAAATCAGCCAGATAACTAAAACCTAACATTGTGTCAATGTAATGACACAATATAATTTTTAATAATATTAATTAATACTAATTTGTTAATAACGATTAATAGTAACCATGATAGTAACGATATTTAAGAAGACATGTTACGTTGGCAGCATCTTGTTCGCTGACATCGTGGGCTTCACGGTGCTGGCGTCGCAGTGCAGCGCTCAGGAGCTCGTGCGCCTTCTCAACGAACTCTTCGGCAGGTTCGACCAGCTCGCCGATGTGAGTAACCTGCTCGTATGAGGGTTGTGAGTAACCTGCTCGTATGAGGGTTGTGAGTAACCTGCTCGTATGAGGGTTGTGAGTAACCTGCTCATGCGTAGGTTGTGAGTAATCTGCTGCCATGTGAGTGTGTTCAGACATGAAGTTTGGGTGTTTGAGAGGCCGCTAATATCCAGTCATTCAATTGATGTGTATATTTATTGTGAAAAATTTTCGACTCAAATGTGCACTAGTTTCAGCCTTTAAGTAAGGTAACTTCTACAACGCTCCATGTGGGACCTAGAGATGATGTGGGACCTTAAGGAACGAATGCCCCTAACACCACAAGCATGCATCGTCCCGCAGGCTTCCGGCGCTTCACTGTTTACATTTGCGCTGCAGAATGTGTGCCGAGCTGCTCGACTCATGGTTGAATGGCTCGACTGGTGGCATCACAGCCGATAAATGGCGCCAAAAACCGCAAATGTTCGACGAACTCTTTAAATTTTTCTCTTATATCGGGGGAAGTGTTACTATTTATAACTGACCAACGCTTGCACTTGCTTGAACTCTGACGAGTTGTTAAAAGTGAACGCAGTCACGCAGAGTGATAACTGCTGTTACTCACTATACTGCCTGCCACTAGAGCCGTATATGTATATTTTATAATGGCACCATATGTGCCATTAGTGCATTGTCTCGCTATGCAAATGTCAATTGAACATAACTCTAAGTGTAGAATACGTGCGTGTCAACACGCTGATTGTCTCCGACGTGTTGAGTGCGTGTATCGTCTCGTAGAGGTGTGCGCGATATGATGTACCGCGATGATGTAAATATGATGTACATGAGCGATGGTATGATGTTGTATGTGTTGGTGACATCCATTGTGTTTGTGAGTTTGTGATACATTAAATTGCCTCGAGATCATGCTTGTAAAGACCGTCTGTATCTAAATGCTTCACATGAATTATATGATGTGAATTTCAGCGAATGTATCTCTGTTTAAGTGCCTCTATAAAAATGTTTTGAAAATATTTCCTACAAATATTCTATTGAAGAGATGATGTTTTACTTCTGGTTTATGGCATTTTCTGAAATTATAATGTTTATAGAAATAAAAAATTTATAACAATGAAATGCAATGTTCTATTGGTTAGGTAAGCTGGTTAGAATGTATAGACTTGTAAATCAGTTGAGATACTTTATGTTGCACTGGTACCATACAAGTGATGAGTATGCTATATAAGACTTATATACCTGTTAAGACAACAGTAATACAATAGAGTTACTGTATCAGGACAACCACTGCCTGCGTATCAAGATCCTGGGCGACTGCTACTACTGCGCCTCAGGCTTGCCAGAGCCGCGCTCCGACCACGCCGTGTGCGCCGTGGAGATGGGGCTCGACATGATCGACGCCATCGCGTACGTTGCTCTCTTCCTGTACTGTTTTCTTATCATCTATATGGCTTTATATTACATTGTATATGTTGCTATTGCCTTCTTATCATATATATTGCTCTATATTACATTGTATATGTTGCTATTGCCTTCTTATCATCAATATTGCTCTATATTACCTTATATGTGTTGTAATTCATACGCTGTGCTTTGATATATTTATTGTCGTTGTGTTCTTGCTACAGCAGATTGTGTGCAGTATGATAATATGGTGCTTGATAATATTGTGTGCACGGCCAGTATGGTGATCACAATATTGTGCGCACAATTAAGTATGGCGATGACAATATTATGCGCACGAGTATGGTGAGTGACAATATGGTGCGCACGAGTATGATGAGTGACAGTATGGTGCGCACGAGTATGATGACAGTATGGTGCGCACGAGTATGATGAGTGAGAGTATGGTGCGCACGGCAGGTGCGTGGTGGAGGCCACGGACGTGCAGCTCGCCATGCGCGTAGGCCTGCACACGGGGCGCGTGCTGTGCGGGGTGCTGGGGCTGCGGAAGTGGCAGTACGACGTCTGGAGCGATGACGTCACCCTCGCCAACTCCATGGAGGCGGGGGGCGTTGGGGGAGTTGCTTATGTATCACTATTCAGAATATATTCAGAATATTAATAATTATGAGCTGAATAAGTCAGCTGACCCAGGCGACAGTAAGCGTGTGCTGACTATAGACTGCATGTGACGAACTGTTCTCAGCATTCAGATTACTAGTCGTTTGGGATGGTCCTCTCGTCGCGCCTACCAATGACCGGCAAATAAGACACTTCCCTGTTGGTTCAGTAAGCAAGGCTTGGGCTGGACGGGATCTGAAACGCCAATGATAAGCTAAAGTTAATATATTAAAGATAAACAGCAAATTATTATCGTAATAAATCATAACGGGTAGTAATACAAAACGGATGCGAAATAGGAACCTATTAAAAATGAGTAATCGGTTACTCGGAAATTAACGAACTGAAAACGAGAGAAAGCCTAATGTGGGGCAAACTTAATTCGTTCAAAGAGAGCTAGAGCTTGGGGTTACAAGATGAAACAGAGAACAAAGAGTAGCTTACCTAACTATGACAAATCAATTATATGTTCACTAATATCACGGTATTTCATAATGCATTAAAATTTTAACACTATTGCACGTAACACTTACCCTTGCGTTGGACTTAAAGTCCTATAAGAGAGGAACCATGGTACGCCAGGCGGGATCAGTAGCTCAACTGACGGCTACCAGCAATGTAACGCCCATGTCAGAGTTGGTCATGCTTGATCTGAGCGGTGTAATGGCAAGTAGTAGGAACTTTTTAGCGCACTATATTACACTGTACAACAACACTGTACAACAGGCGAGTGCACGTGACCCAGGCGACCGTAGACGCTCTCGGGGGTGCCTACGAGCTGGAGCCTGGCGAGGGCCACACTAGGAGCGCCTACCTCAGGGACAAGGGCGTCACCACCTACTTCATCGTGCCGCAGAACCGCCGCAGGAAGGTAAGAACTGCTCAAAACTATGCAATACGCGTTTGCCCTAAGTTCGTCTCGCTAAGAAAGGTCTGAAAAACATGTAGAACCATGCAGAACGTGTACTCGTGCTTACCGCTTTGCGTACTCCGAACAAGTTTGTTCGGTGTATACAAAATCCCTAGCAAAATTCGGGGACCGCCCTGGCTTCGGCCGAACAGTCACTTCACTCGGCGCAAATATATTCGATCTGGGTCTTCTTGGATACCCGATCAAAATCCGTTTCTCAGAATCTCCGTTACGACTTGATAGTCGCCTGTGAGTATGACAAGAGTTGACGGAACCGAGTCATACCGAGCTAGCAAGCTGCCCAGAGGCTGCGCTTCGAGAGCGGACATGAGAAGCTGATTTACGTGCTGCCCGAGTCCTAGGCGGCCCTAATGCAGGGTCGCGCACGCCTCCAAATTGTGTTAGGGAAGCTGATCAATACTTATCGCCCTACGATTATCTGGTATAGTTCTACTAATTTTAAAATTCTTGTCGTATAAATGGTTGTAGAACAAGCGTATAAGTAAATTATAGTATCGTATAATTGAAGTAATTGTTTATAAGTAGAATACCTGCGTACGAATGTTTACTAACACTCTTTCCCCTTCTCTTCCCTCTCCCCTGCCATGATCTTCACCCCTCACCCCCTCACTAACTTCATTCCCTCCCTCATCCCCTCCCTCACAATTTTGCCAAAAATTTCCCAATATTGTTTTTCTTTCTCACTAAATTTTATTTTACCAATTTTCTCGGCATGTTTATTGCTTACATTATTTCTGAACGTTTTGAAATTTATTTATAATATCTATTTTTTTGTTTTGTACATGCGATGATTTTGTGATGTATTTTGTTGCCGCACCCTTCACTCACCCCATCATCACCCACCCTCCACCCACCCCTCAACTAATCACCCAACCGCCACTCACCCTCACCCTTCACTCACCTCCCACCCTTTACTCACCCTTACCATCCCAACACCACCCACCTTCATTCACCACCCACCATAAGGTCAGCTCCTACACGATAAGGGTGCTGTAAAGTTATTGCTATTAAAGTTGTGTGCTTAAAAAATAGCCAAAGAAGTAAGATCCCTAGAAATAAATATATTTTTACTAAGAAAAACTCCCGAGATTAAGAAGTTGTCCTACAAGCTTGTTAAGATATTCAGTAAAGGTGCAAATTATTCGCGTTATTTCAAGTGAGATATTCAAGATAGCCATTTGTGTGGAATGGGAGAGGAGGTCTCGATCTCTTACTCAATTGCAAGGTGCATATTTGCTTTAAACAATTTCTTAGCTAAGTAATAAAGTGAGTATGTGTCATCACTAAAGTTCTAGATGTTCTAGATGACTGAAGACACTGAGTGATTACCTCGATGCAGATATTGAATTGAAACACTAGGCTTCAAGTGTGTCATGTTAAGCAATCTTAACTTCTCACCGTTATTCATTCCAAAATTTCGATTGTTTGGAATGATTTTGTAATGAAAATTTTTCTAAAGGAAAATTTGTAATGATTCCTCTTTAGAAAGGAAAAGCTCAACCTCTTTCAAATAATTTGTCAATTAAATTTCCTGTCTTTATTTCATATTCATTGATTTGGTTTTAGCTTCTGTTAGAACGGCCCACACTTCGTCCTTCCTCATCTTTACAGTTCTTATTCTTTTATGTCGTGAAGAATTTCCTTGCTCTACGTTGCTCCATGTCTTATGCGTTAATTGGCTTTTGCCTTCTCAGTTTTTGATTCTCACAGATGCTTTGAATTTTATTCAAGTTTCTTACAATGATGCCGACGTATAAAACATCTCAATGTTGACTATAACTTTATTGTTCTTGCGTGTCTTTGCTAATTGTGATTGGTGTTAATCTGGACTGGTCAAGTTAGTCACTAATTTCGTGAACTTTGGAAAATTCTTGCTATTGTATGTGTCTTCGTGAGTATTTCGCCCATCAATTATTATCAAACGAAGTTACTTTTATGAAACTTGATGCATTGAATTCCACTACAACACCATTAAAGGTTAAGCCTTGTTATCGTGCGTGTTGTTATCATATGTGGTATTTCTAACTTCCCCAATAGACATTGCTAACTAACGCAATTAGTGCGTAAGTTAAATAAATGAAGTGCTCCAAATGCACCATATTTAATAGTGAGAGCTCTCCCTACTATTTTCCAACATTAAAGATTAAATAAACCTATAACTCTCGCCCGCTAACATTGAGTTGACTTGTGATTTTTGACGTGTTGGTTGTTCCTTGCCATCAGAGGAACATATTTTTCCACCCTTACTACGAGCTAGAGCGGCCATGGCAGCACGTGAGTGCTTTACCCTTGCCAGTCTTTAATTGGTGTTGTTTTGCCAGCTATTATCACCCGTCTAAACATCCGTCCTCTCATGTAAATTTGTAAGCAGTCTTTGGGTGTAGTGTAATGTGCATTTTCTCCCGCAAATCTTTCTTCACACATTGACTGCACCGCGGTGCTGCTGCCGTCTGTTACTTTTGTATTTGCTTAATCTGCACTCTTCATCTACACTTCAGAGCCATCATATTTGTGTATATACTTGTTGTTAACGGTTCTCTACCTAATATATACTCACTTCTTGTCATATAACCTATGCATAATTTATATTTCGTCTTCCACCATACAATTTAGCTATTCTATTCCTTGCTCCGTCGAAGTTTTCGTAATTTCTCAGCTAGTAGTTGATCATCAACTCTTACATTTTCATGTCTTGTCAACTGTATGTAAGTAAGTAGGTGTATATTCCTGTACATTGTGTGTACATTGTAGGTGTGCATTCCTCCTGGTGTATTGAGAACCCGGCGTGTTATCCGTACCCTCTTCCTCCAGAACGCCACTCTTCTTACTTTATCTATGGACGTTGTTACCATTGTCCTTTATTAGCACATATTCTTCTGTACATATTTACCTTTATTTCATAGCCGACATTGTTTTTGTGTGTATATTTATCTCAGTTGGTTTGAATGCTTTGGAGATGAAAGTTTGTTGTGCTAATTACATGATAATTTTTTATATTCGGTGAACACAATTATATGTAGTTATACTTTCCACCAAAACCGCGATACTGAGTTCTTACCCCCACTCATATCGAGCATCATCGTGTGGCTTTGTTTGCTGGTGACGGCGAATGTTGTTGCAGTCTTCTTTGGGCAGACAGATTATATATTCCATTCTCAATTTATTTACCAAATTTGCTGTTTTCGGGACGTTGGAGCGTCATTATTCTTCCATATTTTATTATAAAAAAATTATCGTCACCTCGGTGCACCACTTGAGGCAGACCATGGCTATAGTGCACCGTGTCCCCTCACTTGAGGCAGACCATGCCAGTAGTGCACCGACACAGGATGATTTCTAATCTCTCTTTCTGAGTTCACTTTATAGGATGTGCGGTTTGTGTTCAGAATGTCTGACGTTTTGTTAGGATGTCTGAATTTGTATATAATGTCTGGGGTTGAGTTAAGAACGCTCTACTATATCTTAAGAAAGTTAGGAGCGCTGGCATATGTAGTTGGTCCTGTGTCAACAATACCTGCAATTGTGTTGCGGGTGCCTGCACTTGTGTTGCGGGTGCCTGCACTTGTGTTGCGGGTGCCTGCACTTGTGTTGCGGGTGACCTTATGACCTTATGATGAGTTTTAGGACGTCGTAGTCCACGGTCACGCTGATGCGTGACCGTGTCCTCCGAGTCGTCGTCGGATGTAACGTTGGACGTGTTCCGTCTATTTGCCCTCCTTTGGGCCAGCTGATGCAAGATGCTGTTGCTTGTCACTTGCTTAACATGAAGCTATTCCCCACGCAGTCATCGCTGTTGTCAGACAAGTTGAAGCGTCCGTTCAAGAAGCGGCACTCTTCCCTCCCTCACACCCCCAGCAGCCGCGTCAACAAGTACCTGGCGCAGGCCATAGAGGCGCGCAGCGTCAACAGGGAGCAGGCCACGCACGTCTCCCTCGTCACCCTCTGCTTCAGGGACACCAACAAGGAGAGACAGGTGCGCTACTGCTCTTCTAGTAGATACTCTTTAATTTAAGACATGTCAAGGCATTAATTTTACCCGTGAACTGCAACGTAAATTATCAATGTTGCCATAATGCCACAGCGGAAATTATTCAAGTCGAATTCAAGGGTCAGAGATGGTGAGAGTGAATACGTTTTGGCGCCACTTTAGTACTCCGAATTATTAAGTTGAAAACCTCTTGCATTGATCCATTAAAAATGTCGCCCGGAGATCCTGATACTGTATCAGTTTGTCATACAATTGACTGAGCCGTTTTCTTTCGTTAACTGATTTACTTGGAGTCATAATTGATTGCAACCCTTGCTCCAATCAAAGTCGCCTATAGCGTGAGTATAAATGCAAATTTATTGTATCCACAACACCCTTTGTTTGTACTTTTCTTATTTCAAATTTTTAATTTCATTTCATAATTCACTTTGTAACGAATAATTTATATATGAAACGTCGTAGTCAATTAAAATGTCTCATGGTAACCTACGTTTATATCTGCCAATTAAGTATTATTCGACTCATTGAAAAAAGCAAACAAGAAAGTTATTAATAAGTAATTTTGCCTGCATAATCAAACATGCACATTTAAAGACTAACCACAACTAGCTTAACTACACCACCACTCAGTACCACGACGAGCCAGACTCAGGGTTCGGGTCATCGCTGCTGTGCTCGCTGCTGCTGCTGCTGCTGACGGCGGCCCTGCAGGCGCTGCTGCTGCCACGCACGCTGCTGCTGCTCTTCCTCTTCCTCGCCGCCTTCGTCACCATCGCCGTCACCCTCATCGTCCTCCTCGCTTCCAGGTCTTGCTAAGCAAATTATTCCATACAGCATTTACTAGGCATAATCAACCATACCTGCATGCAAGTTTGATTTGAAGATGAATCTCTTCCGCGTGTAGTTTATTGTCGTTCGTAAATCACTGGATTTATTGCCGCTTATTGAGCTGTGCAATGAATCATACCGTGACAACCTCCCCCCTCGTGCATAGACAACTTCATGACATGTCATCCCACATCATCACACCACATCACACCACACCTCCGCCCCCAGACTGCGTGTCAGCACCTCGGATCCCTCGCGCAGCTTCGGCCTGCGTCTGGCGCTCACCATCGCCGCCGTCGCCGTCATCTACGTCATGGCGCAAGTCAACGCTGTAAGTTATTGCAGTTCAAGAGAAGTAATAAGACTGTCTTTGGTTAATTTGACATTAATCTGACTTGAGTGATGCCTCATAGGCCTCACTCTGCATTGTCCCGTGGACCAGACGTATTGCCCCATAGGATCTGCGACCATAGCTGGGAGTACGTCAGTTCAGCAGGGGTTAATCCTACTTGTTCAGTTAACGTGATAAAACGCTTCAGTTCAGCAGGAATAGAACCTACTTCTACTACTAAAATAACTAATCACTTCAGTTCAGCTGCGAGCTGCCGACGGGGCCCTGCCACAACATAAGCGAGTTGGCGACGTCGGGCCACGGGTCTTCAGACGGGAGTGGCCGAGTGGTGGCCGGCCCGCTGCTGGGGGGGACCGGTGGCTCCCTGCGCAACTTGTGGTGCCCCCTGCCGGAGTACATCCCCTTGTCGTGCATCCTTAGCTTCCTGACGGTGGCGCTGTTCCTGCGCCTGCCGGTGCTGGTGAAGCTCCTGCTGCTGCTCTGCATGGCCGTCGTGTACTCCTTGCTGGTCTTCGCGACACACGTGCCGCTCTTCACCTGCTACGACGCCAGGGTCGGGTGAGTGCTGGCTGCTCTTCACCTGCTACGACGCCAGGGTCGGGTGAGTGCTCGCCGCTCTTCACCTGCTACGACGCCAGGGTCGGGTGAGTGCTGGCTGCTCTTCACCTGCTACGACGCCAGGGTCGGGTGAGTGCTGGCCGCTCTTCACCTGCTACGACGCCAGGGTCGGGTCAATACTAATAGGAATATATGGGTTATGTTACTGCATTCAAATTTCAGGCGATTGCATGATGAGATAAGCTTCTCTTTACACCGATAAACATGTCTCTCATACTGTGCGTGTGGCAGGTTTGAGGGCCTCTATGAACAGATCTCATGTTGCATGAGTATTCCTATTAAATTGCCGCTTGCAGATGTAATAAAGTGATGCAGCCGGTGTAACAGTAACCTATATCGGCAGTGCGGTGGTGCCGCTGGAGGTGATGGCGGTGGTGCAGGTGGTGCTGTTCATGGTGGCGGTGCTGCTACACGCGCGTCAGGTCGAGTGGACCGCCCGACTTGACTTCCTCTGGCAGAAACAGGTGTGTTGCCTCCCATATATTATTAGCTGCTCAGAGTATTGATACCAGTAGTGAACATAGGAATTTGTCGGGATTTTCAATCAGGACTTTGAGACACGTTCAGGACTCTGTCTCGCACACGCATCACGTTCATGCAACACGTACAGGACTAGTTCCGCACCAACACGGTCACTTCCACACCAACACGGTCTGTTCCGCATCAACACGGTCAGTTCCGCACCAACACAGTCACTTCCACACCAACACGGTCTGTTCCACATCAACACGGTCAGTTCCGCATCAACACGGTCAGTTCCGCACCAACACGGTCACTTCCGCACCAACACGGTCTTTTCCGCATCAACACGGTCAGTTCCGCATCAATACGATCAGTTCCGCACCAACACGGTCACTTCCACACCAACACGGTCTGTTCCGCATCAACACGGTCAGTTCCGCAACAACACGGTCAGTTCCGCAACAACACGGTCAGTTCCGCAACAACACGGTCAGTGCCGCGTAAGTATGCACGCTAAATTACACATGCAATTTATCGCTTTGTAGCGATGAGGGTGCGACATGTTAATTAGACTGAGGCTCTATGAGAGCATTGCTGCATTATCTCAACTCTATTCGTAATCTTAATGGTACGGTACGTCGAGGTTTTGCGAACAGCTGAAAATATCAATAATATGACACTCAATTCCCATAAAATATTTCAACCGACAAAAAAATTTAGGATATTAGAAATTCCTATTTTTAGTTCATATAGAGCATTTAAAATTTTTTAATAATTCATGATTTGTCGTCCTCATTGCCTTCGAGAAACGTCAGTATCTGATTTTCTTGTTGAGCTCAACTGTTGACACGACGATCTCACCTGTTGTTGCCACAGGACCTGTACCACCAGAGCTACAGCTGCGTGGGCGTCATCTTCGCGACCATCCCAAACTTCCGCGAGTTCTACGTTGAGTTGGACGTCAACAACCAGGGCACTGAGTGTCTCAGGCTCCTCAATGAGATCATCGCTGACTTCGACCAGGTCAATTCCTAGATATTCTCATCACTGCTCCGGATCTGATGGGTTGCCTCTACTCGTTGCTAATTATTACCTTAAGCGCCAATTTTGATTGAATTGATTCAAGTTTCGTACAATAATATGCCTTTGATTTGAGTTATCTATTAATCGCTTAGTTGGAATGTAGCGGGTATAAGTTCATTTTTCTTGAATGTTAATTTATGGCTAGTATGATTTATCACTTGAACCTAATGAGTTCAAACTCACTCACTCATTTATAACTTTAACCACCATTTGTTACGTAAAGTTTACATTATATTCATATGTTATCCAGTGACTGAGCATTCTAAGGGATTCTACAATAGAGTTTGATTCTCGTATATATAATTGATTATATGTATAATAGGTATTGCGGAGCGAGTTAGATTGACTCAATTTTTGTTGAACTGAAGAACATTACGTTTGTTGGCAGCTGCTGGACGACGAGAGATTCAAGGCAGTAGACAAGATCAAGACGGTGGGGTCGACGTTCATGGCGGCCGTAGGGCTGATGCCTGACCACAGGATCCAGGAGGACCACAGCGACTCTGTGGGCTACTACATGTGCGTCCTCGCTGAGTTTGTGCTCGCCTTACGAGACAGCCTTGCCAACATCAACGAGAACTCCTACAACAACTTCACCCTTAGAGTTGGTGCGTGGCTAAGTGGCGTGGCCACCAAGGGTCTCGTGTACATGATCTTTGCTTTGGTGCACTGTATTAATTTAATAATAATAATAATTGTATGTGGCTTCATGCAGACGAGGGCCGGACAGTGAATGGTATTTGGTGTTAATGCTTTTGCAAGTGCATTGTATTTATGAGGGCTTAGTGAAGACAGTCGCACAGCAGAAGGCCGTAGTAATGGTGCGTGTGTGAGGTGCGCTGCAGTGCTGCCGTCCGTTGCATGTTGAACATCTCGCTGTAGTGAACTACATAAGATACCGGTAGTAGCTGAGCGATATCATGCCGTTGTGTTACTGTATCAGAATATAAGTTTATCTCCGCCGTGCACCACCGCTTGTTGGTTTTGTCAAATGGCTTGTAGTGTTGAGTGCAAAACACCGGCAACTTTCTCAATTGAAATATGCTTTAAAGACATTTGAAATATGCTTCTTATCATTTAACGATTAACAGAGACTCTATTGCAAATGTTTTACCTGTTAAATTAACTTTTGATTCAGCCGGATAAAGCTTAGTTTTTATTTTTTCAAATCTGTTTGAGTGAAGGAAACACGTTTTCAAAAATACAAAAACTAGCCTGGCATTAGTTACATGGTAAACAAAAAGCGCTTCCTTAAACTTACAGCCACAGAAATGTTCACTGAAGATAAGTAGAGATGCTGGCTAGCGAAGAGAGCTCGCTGGAGCGCCGTGTCAGGCTGACGGGACACGACTGACAGGCAGCCTTCCTACTTACCTAGCCTTGCCCTACCTTACCTTACCTAAACTGATTTTAGGTAAGGTAAAACCTAACATTTGCTGCTTATGCTACTTTACATCTCCGCAAGTCGCAATAAGTTTGATTGAAGAAATTAAGTTATTTTTAAAATTGATACCATGAATAATTATTGTTTTTAAACGGAATAAATAAAATTTTAATAGTTGGCACTTTAATACATAAATAAGCGGGAATGATCTAAATCGTTTACCCCGGTTGGAAGCGTCAAGCTGTTATATACAGCCATCGATACTATCGCTCAGCTATTGTTCCTTCGTTGAGTTCTTGAATATCAGATATGCATTTCTAAAGTAGTGAACATCATTCATATGTCATGTGCAGGCATGAACATGGGCCCGGTAGTGGCCGGGGTGATCGGGGCCCGTAAGCCCCAGTACGACATCTGGGGCAACACCGTCAACGTCGCCAGTCGCATGGACTCCACCGGTCTGCCGGACCACACGCAGGTCTCCACAGCTGCTGTGTTGTGCTGCCCTCTAGTTGCCCGCTTAGTTATTGGTTCTATGTAGCACTCCTTCGTTGTACCTGCTGTTAAGTCTTGATCAATTTATTAATTTTTGTCTACGAAACGCGTCAGTTTTATATTTTCGTCCATCGTTTGTCCTGGCATAAGGAAACAACGATATGTTGTCTTCTTGCTCCTTGATTTGATCAAACTCCTTCATGGGACGATTTGGTAAAAAGTTTTTAATAAGTTACGTATAAGATAATTTGTTATAGGAACAATAATCAATAATGCAAGCTCATGTTCTGCGGTTGCTAGCTTGGTTTTATTGACTGCTCAGTTGTGCAGTATTAAACGAATTTTTAATAGAGAAGCAGACATCCTAAGAGTGCATACCTTGTTATGTACTTACGATGGCTGTTGTGACTGCAGGTGACCGAGGAGGTGTACAACGTGCTGCACAAATATCCCTACGACTTCCAGTGTCGCGGCACCGTTAAAGTCAAAGGCAAAGGCGACATGACGACTTATTTCTTGCTTGGCCGCGCCCAGCCTCCCACATTGAGGGTGCAGGACCTCCCCCAGCGCAGCAACACCCCCTGGCACCAGCAGCAACAGATGCATCAGCAGCAACAGATGCATCAGCAGCAACAAATTCACAAGCAGCATGTGCACCAGCAGCAACAAATACACCAGCAGCAACAAATGCATCAACAGCAACAAATGCATCAGCAACAGCAAATAACTCAGCAGTATCAGTATGGTGAGCTGTAACATATTGGAGCTCTGAACACGGGCTGCAGGGTCATGGAGTTGTTAGGTATTGACAAGCAGATAATTAAATTGCTGTTTTTTCATGGATTCAAACCCTAGCGAAAAATTTTTTGCAGGTAGCGCTCATGGCGACGAGTGTTGCGGCTATTCTCATGTTGAAAATTTTGGTTCTTTAGTTGCAGTTGAGAAATACATCGACTCCTGTAACGTATGCTGTTTTACGCATGAAGGGTGGGAAGAACACGGCCGCACCCCGTTTTGGCATTATTTAAATCATAGTAACGAACAATGAACAAGAACCAAGGATACTAAAGCATAGCTCATTAAAAGCTACTTCTTCGTAGCTGGCCATTAGGAATACAGAAACATTGCTATCCTACAACTCTTACCCAAGCATTGTTGGAAGTAAGGTTTAGTGAACCTGAACTCAAGTAAAAAGAGAAGGAAACTTGCGACTAGATCGGATGTACAGGGTTCGTACCGGTCATGGAAAACCTAGAAAGTCATGGAAATTGATTTTTATTTTCCAGGGCTGGAAAGTCATTGGATTTCATTTCAGGTTATGGAAAGTCATGGAATTTGCAAATGAAAAAAGAAAAAAAGGAAGGGTTTTTCTGTGCGTCGTGTGTATACTGTTTGCGCAGTCTCTTGTTTAATGCGTTCTGATTGGTTCTCCAATCACGTGCTCAGTTGCATTCAACAACTTTTTGATCGGCAGTGGCAAAGCTCCATCTTCAACGTGCAATTTATACATCACAATGCCTGGAAAGTGTAAATTTCATGACTTGTGGTTTAGCCAAGCTTATCGTGACTGGCTTGCTCGCCATCAAAGCATGAAGGTATGGCGATATGTAGGTACATTGTGCTAGAAAGACTTCGATGTGTCAAATATGGGGGAAGCAGCTTTGAAGAGCCATTAAGAGCTATGGATTTACACGTTTGCTATTTATCAACTGTTGGAGATGATAGAATATGCACGGTCAGTCTTTCAGTCATGCTAAACCTGTCGTATACGAGTCTTGGAGAATTATATTGATGGTCATGGAGAGTCATGGAAAAGTCCTGGAATTTTTTTCTGAATACTTGTACGAACCCTGGATGTAACAACTGCATGAAATTTCGACCCTTCCGTATTTGAATAACATTGGAGGTAATACTGTCAATATAGGAAATTATTGTTATATTTTTTTATATTTTTTACTTACCATTCTTTAATAGCTGCTCTAGTGCAGCTAGTTTGAGTCGTTTGAGCTGCTCTAGTGCAGCTACCTGCTGTAAATTTAATGTATGGCATGTAAATATTGATTATGAATAGGTGTAAAAATACCCTGTTTGCAATTAACTTCCATTTAAGATGAAACTCTAACCCACTTCATCTGACAGGCTCCTCGTTGCCGTACGAGGACAATACTGCGCGTCATCACCCCCCTCCTGAAGTGCCACCTCATGGACGTCCTCCCAAGAACGGAGTGCCGCTCAAGCAAGTGGTCCGCAACGACAGCGTCTCCAGGGACTCCTACTGTGACCAGGTCGCGGTAGTCAACATGAGCCTCAGCCAGTGCGCTCCTTCATCCAAGGGCAAAGACTTGGTTGCAGCAGACTATGTAAGCGCAGGACAACATTCCTGCGAACGTGAACCTCTTCTGGTGACGCCGGGTGCTTCTGCCGCTCTTGCGGCGCACGTGCTGCCCAGGTCTTCTGTTGCGGCACAGCAGCAACAGAAGCAGCCTGCGCGCTACGTTAACCAACGCAATGGGAACGCTTCGAAGAGCAACAACCAAGAGTCTCTGGTGCTGAAAGCTGCTCACAAACCTCATCAGCTGCAACAAGAACTCCTGGGACCTCAATCTGATAGAAAGCAACAAATGCACATGCCTAGGTCACAACAGAAGTACAATAATCACCACCATCATCATCATGCTTATCATCATCACGATAAATCTGCTCAGCCTCACAACCATCATCACCACCACCATCACGCTCAGCCTCAGAAAAAATGGCCTGTAAGTTCTCACTTTCCTGAGTGGGATCAGCGGGACGTTGATCGCCAGGGAGCAAACTGGAAGTCTCGTTCAGGAGGACAGATCCGAACTCGGCCGCCACCTGAGGCGGGGCCGACGCGTCACAAGCCAAACTGTCGAGCAGCGGCGGCCGCGGCGCTGGCTGCTGGTACTGCTACAGACGCCGGTGGTGGTGCAGGTCTTGTGCTGCCCGGCTTGCCTAAGCATTATCAGGTGGAGGAGGCTGGGGTACGCAGCAAGCTACGCAATCTCACCCGCCATTACAGTGACGACAGTCTGCCCGGCTCCTCCAACCGGGAGCTCCACGCCGCGCGCATACACTCCTCCGCTGACGAGATCAGCTCCGTCAACAGGTCGCCCAGTATCAGCTCTTCTGACGAGAGCTTCTCCCGCACTGATTTCTCTCGAACAGATGCCGACTCTCCGTCACCGGAACGTGCGCCCTCTCTCAACGATGTGAGGTTCAAGTACATGTTTGAAGACATGAACCCTCCTGAAGACGGAGCGACCGCTCGTTTTAGGGAAGTATCTCCCCATCTATATTCTGATTATCTGTCAAGTGTGAAAGCTTCTAGTGATGAGAGTAGCCTTCGGTTGAATAGTTTAACTTTAGATTCTTGTAATCAGTCTCAATCTAACGTTGCCAATGTGTGGAGAGAAAGCGACATTGGGCCTCCGTTGACCGATGGCGATAGATTGCGACGTGACGATGTGTTTATACCCAAATTACGAGCTGAGTTTTCCAGTGATAAAGTCAAGAGAACAAAAACGGCTCCTGCGTCTTCTAAGGCAGAATCTAGTACAGCTCGTAGCAGTGCGTCGCCTGCCAGTGATAAATTAAAGCAAAGTTTGCATTCTAGTTTCAGTGAAAGTGACAGAACTTCTCCTTATCGCGGTAATATGTCAGGCAGTGCCAGTAGATTGATGAGTCTTGATCGCAGTGCTCGGCGAAGCCACGCCAACACTTCGGAGAATGTCGAGGCGGTGTCAAAAAGGCGTTCACTGCCTCGGGATTGCGCTCGTAAACCTCCAAGTTTCGCGGAACAGTTCAGCAGTAGAAAAGCATCTAGCATGAGAGACCACGACAGGACTGACGGTGGCAGCCGGGAGAGCGACCGGAGGTCATCTGAGACGCAGCGGTCTTCGGATTGTGACAGTCAAACTGAACCTAAACGAACTCACGCTCGCAGTGCGAGTGGTGATTTAGGCTGTCAGAAACGTGTTGGAATGAGCCCTACCTTCGTCAGCATTGACGAAAATGGCTCCTCTGCCGCGGCCAGCTCTGACAGGTATGGCCGCTCACCTCACGTGCATTGCCCACATTTGATCAGTCCTACAGGATCAAGCCAAGGAGATCATTTATCCTCTTATCTTGATTGCTTTTCAAGCGACAAATCGCAGGGTTCTGGTAGCACCTTAGAGGGCTACTCAGCCTTACAGAGGTTGGCTAAGTTGCAGGAGAACGCCCTTTTGTCATCCTTAGAAAAACTTAGCGCCCGAGGCTCGCCGCAGTTCAGTTGCGTTTATGACCCGACAGCATCGACGCGCCTCTCGAGTTACGAGACTGGCAAGGAGGGCAGCCTTATGAGGTAAAAGCTCCCTCATTCTGCCTGCTCTCAGTTCGACTAAAACTCGCTCGGGATCTTGCGATCGAAACTCCACCTCTGGACATTTTATAAACTATTTCTTCATCTTGAATGTGACTAATGATGTCAAATTTCTCTTAAGCTACTGACGCTTGCAATTTGCCAAGTTGACTAACTCAGTCGCTAGTGTTCTTCCTAACTCATCGCTTAGATTAAAACAATAATTTTCAGCAGATGACTTAATTCATTGTCTTTGTAATATAACGATTGTTACCGTAACTTTGCGCAGTATTACTAACCGCACGAATATCGGTATGAATTCAGTTTGTGTTCTGTGACCGTAACTAAACTGGCTTCGTCTTCGCGTTTGCAATACGGCTTAATTAAATCGCATTTTTGTGGCATCTCATAAATTAACACGGTCTTCGTGAATGAAATGATTTTTGTGTGTAACTTTAGTATAATATTGTTATGTTTAATAATGATAATTTTATTATAATTTAATCTAAAATTTGATCGCATTATGAATAATGAATTATTTTGATGTTCCGAATATTTCGTGAAGACAGTTGCATGTCTGGCGCTGAGTTCAAATTATCATCATCCCAAGAATTTTGCACACGGCGTTCATATACTTGCTCGTTATTAGCAACGCATACAAAGTCCTTATCATTTCACAACTTCTAACAATGTAAGACCCGGCCTGTACAAATTGCAATGCAGTAAATTGCCTGATATATTTCTGTACAGCGAGTCTTGGATTGTCCATACCAGGCGCTGCTTTCTCTTCCTTAATCCAAGTGAACACGAGGGAGAAGAAGTAATACTTATTCCTCAATTATATTTCCCCTAAGAATCAATGAAATTTTCATAATATTTTTCATGTTCATGAGTATATTTATGCCCACATTGATCGGTAACTATCTCATTAAACATGATGGTGAGTGTTGTGCATTGTGCGCGCAGGCGCAAGGGTCACCGCACGAGCAGCGCGCGCCGCTGCCCCGCGCCCACCACTGACGACGACAGCGATGACGTGGCCGCCTTCGAGGAGGCCGAGGCCAGGCTCGTCGACCACCCGTCCTCCCGCCGCTTCTCTCCTGATAAAAAAGTCAGAGTTGCGTCCTTTAAAAATTGCCAATCGTACAAACAAAAACACATTTTCTATAAATAATGTAAATCCCTTCTTTTAAACACATTATATAGAAAAGTATGCCGGCTTTGCTTGAAACTTCCAGGAGAATGAGGAGATTAATTTTCTTCTTACATTTTCTATCTTTCCCTACTATTTTGAGAAAGAATTTTAAAACTACAGCCAGAGGAATAACCACCTAAAATGTGGAAACGGTTTCGCTCAATGTTGAGCATCTTCAGGCAGATTGGACATAATGCAGCTAAGATGCGAGTAGGAGGCTGAGGTGATGGCGACTGATGAGAGACTGATTGAAGGAATGGCCGTTGACTGCGAGATAAGTTCGCGTACAGTCGGGATGCAAAGTATATAACTATGAAGCTTCAGGGTTAGTTGGGATCTGGTTGTTTGGCTCTTTAGGAATGGCTTGTTTCGTAATATCAAAATTACACCCATTATTGATATCCTTAATATCCTTCCTAAACATACTAATCTATTTAAATATACACAATTTCATAGAGGTTTGCGTTTCATAGTTCATTGTTAGCAGCAGGAATCTCGAACGTGCCTGCCAAGATGTCGATAAGCGCCGACGGAATCATTGGAACCTCCGGTCTAATCGATCCATAAGAGCTTACACAGCCATGAATCCTTTTGAAGTGAACCGCGCAGTAGTGAGGGATATTCCTGTACATCTAGTTGCTTTCTATTAAAACATTATAATGCTTGCCTCTCACCGAATGCTAATGAGACGCTTAATAGATATTGCCTGCTCTTGTCTCAGCATTCTGTGACATTGGGCCTGTTGAAACCTGCCGAGTCTCGGAGGGAGCGCACAGAACGATAATTGAAGGTACAATGTCTCGAAGAAAACTATAAACTTCATAATTACCTCAATTACCATCCGCATAAATTTTCTTCCATACTACGCAGGATGATTTCTAACGCCAGCAATCCTTGCGAACACAAAAGGCATGCATTAAGTAGTTAGTTCATTAACGGTCTCCATCAATCTTCTCAGCATGTAACGCCAAGTGCAGCACCGCGTTTAACAGCCTCAATTATTCCAATAAAATCTTATTCATTAGGTGAGGAGCAGGGGATTATCAATCATCCTGCGGTCTCTCCGTTGTAAAAATGAGCCCCATGTTCATTGGCGTTTTCACCTGACATCACTTAAAAAGACTATCATGTCCTCTTACTAGTATTCATGGATCTCCTAGTCTTAATTTGTCTTAATTATCGTCTCCGAATGCTGTTGGCCTGCCTGCTAATATTGCTCTCATTGATCATCTTGCGTGCCTCAGTCACAGGTAGACTTGCTATAACCTCCCGGTTAGCGGGCTGAACCCAAACAAAAATCAATGTCAGGAAATCTCCTGCGGGGTTGAATCCGCAAGATTGCCTCTCTGCTTAACCGAGCTCTCTGTCTGCCTGGTATGTAACGCGCTTGGGTAGATACAATATTGAGCCAATAATAATATTCGCTCACAATGATAACTATTTTACAGATCCTAGCTTCCAAAAGTCCGCGCCCAAGCCCTACAAAAATGGATGAAGACGCCTGGGTTAGAGAAGGCAACCGAGGGACCGTACCGCACAGCAGCAGCAGCACCGATAGTCCCTCGACCTCGACGGCGAGCACGAGCGGCGGCACGACAACGACGGCGCAGGCCACGGCACCGCTGTGCTTTATCGTATCCAATACGGCACCTGAAGGCGGCGTCACTAAAGGGCTCGGGCTGGGGGGCAAGCTCGGGCTGAGCAGCGCGTGTGGCGGCGGAGGGGAGACGAGTCTCTCCGAGTGCAGCGAGGAGGAGGACGGCAACGCGTCTGAGCCGCTGCTTGACATCGACCAGGACAGTACGGGGTACACCACCGACGACCCGGCGCTTGATCAGGCCTCTATGATGAACGACGCAGGATTGACCGACGCTGAAGGTAACCAACAATTTAATTGTTCATTTTCATATAGGATATATGAATCATTATAATCTTTACGCTTGCTTTGTGAATTTCCTCTCAATGATTTTCAGTTTTTAAAATTTGCATTTATGTAGAACGTATTATGACGTGAACAGGTGCGCTGAGCGACGTCAATTCGCTGTACAACGACGGCCCTCTCTGCGACGGCGACGACACGAGCATCTCAAGTCGCGCCTCTTCGCGCATATTCGACGACGCGATGCTGAGCTACGACGCGCTCTCTGCCTACTACCACGCTGACTACGACAGCTACAAGGGCCCTGGCAGCGCTCAGGATCCTCCAGACGAGAACCAACAGCTCCTTCATGTTGACCTCAGCCGCAGCCCTCGCAACAACATAGACGCTCTCAGCGGGGACAGTCTAGACAAATTAGACCAGTGTTTGAATTTGGGCAAGACGGATCCAGCGGCCATTAACCTACAAGATATCCGCTCGGTATCTGAGAGCATTACTCTAAATTTCGGCAATTCTAGGTTTGACAGTGAACTCGACAGCGACGTATGATATTTAGCTTCCGAGAGCGTGTACTTGCCGCGCCTTAGTGAGACCACCGTGTAGCGTTTATATGCGTGTTACTCGTACGAAATAAGCTCTGCTTTCTGAGATTAGATCTCATTTTTAATTACTTTAGTCACCAACAAAATCCTTGCCAGCCGCTCTTGAATTCCCAGATTATTCATCAGCCTTCTGGTACAATTGACCTTTCATTAACTTTTAAAGCACCTAATTTATGTTTGAGTTGAGCACGCAAAAGTTTGTTCTGCGTAAAGTGAAACTATTTTGTTGATCGCTAGATTACTATGGTGATATTTAAGCCATCTTGATTTTATGCTTATTTATTGTGCTTTTGTTAGTGTAGCTCATGGCGATTGATTTATTATACAGCTAATCTAAGATGGGAAACTGAAGCCGTTCATGTAGTACATTGGACGATGCGGGCGTTATGGAGGTGCTGCGCGTACAATGTACATCTGAGAAATGATTTTACCTGCATTGCATTTTGCAGTTTCATATGCTTATTAACTCTGATTCTTTTTTTTTCTCGAATGACCAGTCACTCACATGGGATTATAAAAACAAGGCAGGAAAAATTACTTCATTCCTACAAGAACAGATCGAGTTGACTCAGTTCGGTGTGCCGTGCGAGGCTCGGCTGATGGAACTAGTCATGCAATTATACAATATCGGGACTAAACTTCGTCACTCTACTCATGCTTTCGGATATTATAAGTTACCAAAGACTTCACTGTTCAACCCTCATTGAATATAATGAATTTAATCACTGGAACTATACGGTATTCAACGTACGTCATGGAGTGTTGCTCAGAAGTGCTTACAATATTTGTGAGATCTGTTGCAGTGTTCTAATGTCGTTACCTGAGATGAACATGCAATAGCACGATTAACCTAAGTTTTATTATTGTAAAAATAGTTTTGGCGCCTCTGTTCGACGTGTTTGTGTTGAACCCAGAATAGAGAATGATTTATAACATAGTCAAACATCCAGCTGTTCCTTTGTTTCTTAGATCCGTAGCTTCAACCAACCGCAGCTCAATTACTAAGCTCAAGCTGCTTTATATTTATTGAGTTAATTTATAAGTTGAATGCGTTAAATTATGGATTTGCCTCTCATGAGCTCGGGACTGTGAGTTCCTTTAAAATTTCAGCCTCTGCGAATGCTTCCGAATTTGTTGTATTGTTTGCTTCACTGCAGGTCCTGACCCGTGTTGCGCGGGCACGTGTTCGATACTTCAATTATTATCTGGTACGAGGGATGAACCTGTAGCATTATTTTCTTCATGAGATTGTCGATTGTCAGAAATAGCTTGCTTTTGTCGTTTCATATCGACGATTTCAAGTAGGTGACTCGTTGAAATGTAGTGAATGTCTCTAATGTACACATGTTCTTTCTAGAGTCAAGAATCTCGAAAGAAAATAAATATATTTATTTTATAGTCAAGAATCTCGAAAGAAAATAAATATATTTATTTTATAGTCTAGAATCTCGAAAGAAAATACATATATTCTTTCTAAAGTCTGGAATCTCGAAAGAAAAAAAATTTATTCATTCTAAAGTCTAGTACCCGAAAGAAAATAAATATATTCATTCAATAGTCTGGAATCTCGAAAGAAACTCATGCAGGCTATACTTCATATGGGAATATTTTGTCATTGCATTATGTTCGATGTTATTTTATTCGTAGAGATGAAATCTTAGCATTAAAAACTTGTTATCCAATTGGGTCAGCTTAAACTCGACTGAATTTTTATCAAGCGATACAACTAAGAATATTTTATATCATTTTACACAAATGTAATGCCTTGCTTTGAGGTAGTGCTAATATTTTTAATTGTTAGAGGAACATGTGGGTAGAGAGTGGGAGAAGCGACAGCAGGACCAACACTGTTCTTGGCAACAAATGCCGTGTTGTCGTGATATTACACGCAGAGATGCCCAGACCTGCGTTGTGTCTGATGGTCTTAATGCAGCGGCTGTTGTTTGTATCATTTCTGGCAGTTATATGTTGGTAGTACTGTCGGTGATGGAAATACCTGTGAAGAAAATTAAAATGTTCCTGACAATGAAGGTAAATGTAATTTAATGGTTATTAACAGGTGCTTACGAAAGAAATCTGTTGGTTGGTATCATTGTTTATGATAGGAATTTGTTGATAACACTGCCGATGATGGTAATTTGATTGAAGTTTTTCAGGCAGTGCTGCGGCTGAACGCGTGTACATAGATAGTTAGAGCCCTAGTCGTGTTGTGCATTTAAGGTTGCAGTTATCTCTCCTTTGACGAAGTATATGCAGTATTTTTATAAGCATACATAACATAGTTCATACATAATTATTTTATGAACTGGAATAATTTGCATCATTGCTGTTGAACTTCGTTTCTAAAACGTTGATGTTGCTTAGTATTTCGCCATTATAAGTGACCGCTATCACGTTCACGTTCTACGTTGCTCCAACATATTAACGCCATTGTTGTTGCCGCGAGATTAGTGTTTATTATAAAGTATCTTTGAGCGGCCACATGGTTGCAAGTATCAAATATATTGATCTACAGGTGAGACGCTGTCATCAATTGTTCAGTGTTGAATACCGAACGCCTTCATCTTTCCCATCCAACAGAAGCGCTCCCATTCACGTATAACAAACCTTGATGTTTACATCGCTTCTGTGGAGCCAAGTAGTGTAGTTTGTGGTCGTGTAAGTTGAACATTTTCAATTATTAATTTCGAGTGTAATGTTCTTATGATTCTGGTCATTTTTATTCCTCAGCATATTTTTTAAATTCCATAGATGAGATAATTCTTCCTTAACGGTTTAGTTTCTCACATTTGACAATACTCAGGTACATTTGTATCGTGTCAAAGTTGCTACTAATTGATTAGTTGTGCAGAAATACGATTTATTTTTATGTACTCACCGGTGTAAGTATTGAAGCGAAATACTGCAGGCTTATGCTTAAGAAAATCACCCTCGGTGAAAAAGGGTTTGAAGTACTTATGACTCCATTCGATATACTCGAGTTTCTCGTTCAACGATGTAATTTGTTATACTGCTTTCACATATGGATCGAGGACAGGCAGATTCAGTTGCCCATCGCAGCTGCTATTCTGCAGTGCAGGTATTCTCGATTTTGAACTCCGTTCGCGCTCTGGTTAATCAACGCTTGAAATTATTGTACATCTTTCCCGATGTATACTTAGGCGTAAATATTTTTGGAATCGGCAGCTTGTTCTAAATAAAGATTAGTTTCAGTGAAGTCCCGAGTTGAGATGCGATCGCAACTCATATCCAAACCACTGGGTCGCCTGCCGAAGACCACCACTGCCCTGGATGTAATGGACCATCATGATTCCTGCCTTCCGGAACGTAGCCTTCAACACTTCAAGCCGTCCGTATCTAGGCCGTGGGTCGAACCAGCCCTCGGTCGAACGGCCACTTGTCGAAGGACGATAAATTTTGGAACAGAACTATGCTATCTGAAACCTAACCTCAGATGCGGTGAACGTAAAATTACGTAATTTAACGATGCCCGGAAGTCAGATTCGATCCGCGGCCTGGTGGTGCACGGCAGGTTCTATGCGACGCCGGAGGAAGACAAAGCCGAGTGGTTCACGGCTGATTGTTGGATGTCCAGAGAGATCCTAGGCATTCGATTCAGGGCTTATTGTTGCACAAAATTGGTGGTGCACGGCTGCGTTCCCCAAACCACGCTGGTTATGGCTTCAGAGTGCGTGTCCTGCAGGAATTTGGACACTGCGGTCAGCGGCTTTACTGTTTATACATCAGGTCTACCACTAATAATATATTTATTCGGGTAAAAAGTCAATTTCGATGACTATGAACAGCCAAAGTCTCTGCAATAAAAGAGATCTATGCCTATTTCTTTGTTTTATTTTTGTAAAGTCCTTATATTTTTTAGTTCAAGACTTGTGGTGACAGAAGCACATTCTCTGCCTCATCTGCGAAGCAAACGTTCATGGCGTTTTGCGCAACATATGGTGATAAAAAAGTGAGGCTTACACACTATTTTTGTCGTTTTTTATCTGTGTGATTGTTGTCTTCGTACTATTTCCCTGATTTAGATCAATTTGAATGAGACAAAGGCATATTGACCGTTTCATATTCGTCCATCAGAAGAATATAGAAGGGTGATTGAGATAGATGATCGTTCAACATTCTCTTATTATTCCACGAAGAGATTGCCTCTTGTATAAATAAAAAATATTAATTATAATTTTCCCAGGATAAGCATTTCCTAAGTTTTTCTCGCTTAAGTACTTGGTAGTGCGTTCCGGGGATGCATATTATTGGCCAGCAATCCCAGTAGTATTGTCCAATACAATTCTTACTTTTATATTTTTATATTCCTTCACGTGTGCAAGCGTGCAACTGAGTAGAGTAGCCTCATGGTTGAACTAGTATAAGGTTGACCCAACTGAAGCCCATTTTTGCGGATGTAGCTCGTTGTTCGCCTGTTACGTCGCTGATCTCAGTGACGTCACGGGCATTAACCAATCACCGAAATGCGATCAAACCAGTCGACCAATTCGTCATGGGAATGATGGGTTTATTTACGTTTCTCGATCTCAGTGACGTAACAAGAAAGCTGAACTGAAAGACGGAACTTCTCGTGGGTCAACCTTATATAGTTCAACCATGGAGTAGCCTATCCATGGTTGTATACTAGTTCAACCAAGAGCGTATCTATGAACTCAATTGTTAAGAGCCATAGGCTCCATAATCCGCAAAACTGCGCAAGTCACTTTAGTTGTATATTTGATTTCGATGTAGTTTTGGAGTATGTGGTGTAAGATTTATGTTGGATATTTTGGTAGCCCAACATGTTTATTCTCAACGTTAGCAACAGGGCTAGTAAAAGAGTTAAATTTGTTGCCAATGGCTGCGCACCCAGTTGCGGTAGATCAGTGGTTCCCAAAGTGGGCGATATCGCCCCCCTAGGGGCGGTAGAAAGATTTTTGGGGGCGGTAGGAAAAAAGAGGGCGGTATGAGGGCGGTAAACCGAAGTCAATGTCAGAAGTGCGAACATTGTTTGACCATTTGTACACAACACGTGCAGCACATGACTCCCAGCGATGGTTTTTTCACCCAGATCTGTTTTTTTTAACCTCTCCTGGGTTTACGTCTTGGACCTCGGCCGGTCTCACGGCCAATTTCCAAATTCAATGATCAAGGAATATCTCTCAAGCTGACACATTAAACTTGGTACACGTATTCGTTAGGACCTGACAATAATGTTTTGCTCGTGAAAATTGTTTGAATTTTACCATCGTTTGTTTTTGCCAAAGTTATATGGCAATTCGGGCCGAAATTCACAGTGATCAAGACATTTCTTCCAAACTGCTGAATAGATTCGAACGAAATTTTGAATTTGCAGTCCTAACTACCGAACGGTAATGTTTAGCTCGTGAAAATTTTTTCGCTTGTAGAATAGAATAGAATAGAATAGAAGTGTCGGCGTTGAAGAAATAGGCCCATGGCCTGTTGCCGATTCTTGAACTTNCAATATACGCGTAACTCACGAATGAAGGCGAAATTAAAAAAAATTACGAGCTAAACATCACCGTTGGGTTCTGATGAATGCGTGCTCTAAGTTTCATAGAGCTGCGTTCATTAGTTTGGGAGATATTACTTGATAATTAAATTTGGAGATTGGTCGTGGGACCTGCCACGAGTCCAGCCGTAAATTCGCCCGAGACGTCTTAGGTTTCTTATAGTGTTGAAACAGTTAAAACAGCTGAAAAACTTATTGGTTCTCTAAATGGGGTTCTATTTGTGAAATACACATTTGTGTTCAACTTTTATCTTTTGAAATTCACATTGTGTTCAACCTTTATCTTTTGAAATTGCAGCGTACTAACTTTCAAGAAAGAGGCGTATGTCAGTGAGGGGCGCTATAAATTCACTAGGGAGCCAAAGGGGGCGCCAGCCTAAAAAAGTTTGGGAACCACTCTTCTAGGGTATAATATATTTAAGTCTCCTAACGTTTGATCGTGTTCACAAGCAATATCACTTGTGTTCAGTTTAATATTATATTAATAAGCTCAGTAACTTCTTTGTACTTTCTAAGGTATAATATATTTAAGTCTGCCATCGTTTGATTATGTTCACAAGCAACATTGCTCGTGTTCAGTTCAAGACGATAGTAATATGCCCATTACTTTTTTTCTTCTTGGGTATAATTTATTTAAGTCTCCTATCGTTTGATCGTGTTTACAAGCAGAAATTGCTTGTGTTCAGTTTAAGGCTATAGTGATATGCTCAGTAACGTTCTGTTTATTCTAGGGTTTAATATATATAAGTCTCCTAACGTTTGATCGTGTTCACTAGTAATATCGCTTGTGTTCAGTTTATTATTATATCAATAAGCTCAGTACCTATTTCGTAGTTTCTAAGGTATAATATATTTAAATCTTCCATCGTTTGATAATATTCACAAGCAACATTGCTCGTGTTCAGTTCAAGAAGATAGTAATATGCCCAGTACTTTTTTTATTGTCTTCTAGGGTATAATATATTTAAGTCTCCTATCGTTTGATCGTGTTCACAAGCAGAAAATGCTTGTTTTCAGTTTAAGACTAAAGTATTATGCTCAGTAACATTTTGTTTATTCTAGGGTTTAATATATTTAAGTCTCCTAACCTTTGATCGTGTTCAGAAGCAATTTCGCTTTTGTTCAGTTCAATATTATATTAGTAAGCTCTGTAACTTTTTTTGCATATTCAAAGGTATAATATATTTATGTTTCCTATCGTTTGATCATGTTCACAAGCAATATTGCTCGTGTTCAGTTCAAGACTATAGTAATATGCCCAGTAAGTTTTCCAGGCTATAATATATTCAAGTCTCCTATCGTTTGATCGTGTTCACAAGCAGAACTTGCTTATTTTCAGTTTAAGACTATAGTAATATGCTCAGTAACATATTTTTTATTCTAGGGTATAATATATTTAAACCTCCTAACGTTTGATCGTGTTCACAAGCAATATCGCTTGTGTTCTGTTTAAGATTATAGTAATAAGCTCAGTAACTTTTTGTATATTATAAGGCAGTGGTTCCTAAAGTGGGCGATATAGCCCCCCTAGGGGCGGTGGGAAGATTTTGGGGGGCGGTATATAAGAGAGAAGAGGGCGGTATAGGGGCGGTAAACCGAAGTCAATGTCAGAAGTGCGATCATTGTTTGACCATTTGTACACAACACGTGCAGCACATGACTCCCAGCGATGGTATTCTCACCCGGATCTGTTTTTTAACCTCTCCTGGGTTTACGTCTTGGACAAATTACCGGCCAGACTCGCGGTCGGTCTAATGGCCAATTTCCAAATTCAATGATCAAGGAATATCTCTCAAGCTAATGAACTTAACTCGATTAAACTTGGTACACGTATTCATTAGGACCTAANATTATTTCGTGACGTACATTAGCGGCTGTCTCTTATACACATCTAGATGTGTATAAGAGACAGGTAATATGCCCAGTACTTGTTATTTTCTTCTAGGGTATAATATATTTAAGTCTCTTATCGTTTGATCGTGTTCACAAGCAGATATGGCTTGTGTTCTGTTTAAGACTATAGTAATATGCTCAGTAACATTTTGTTTATTCCAGAGTTTAGCATAATTAAGTCTCCTAACGTTTGATCGTGTTCACAAGCAATATCGCTTGTGTTCAGTTTAATTTTATATTAATAAGCTCTGTAACTTTTTTTGCATATTCTAAGGTATAATATATATAAGTCTCCCATCGTTTGATAATGTTCACAAGCAACATTGCTCGTGTTCAGTTCAAGCAGATAGTAATATGCCCAGTACTTTTATATTGTCTTCTAGGGAATAATATATTTAAGTCTCCCATCGTTTGATAATGTTCAGAAGCAACATAGCTCGTGTTCAGTTCAAGAAGATAGTAACATGCCCAGTACTTCTTTTGTATTCTAGTGTATAATATATTTAAGTCTCCTATCGTTTGATCGTGTTCACAAGCAGGGAGCCTGTGGGGGGGCGCAATAAATGTCTCTGGGAGGGGGCGCTATAAATTCACTTGGGAGCCAAAGGGGGCGCCAGCCTGAAAATGTTTGGGAACCACTGCGGCAGATTAACCTCACCCCCTCTTCACTATTCTCTTACTCGATCCGTATTTTTCAGCGATAAGCAGCTGGTAAAACTGAACATTTCGAGTAAATTAATTATGAAGAGGCGTGTAGTGCAAGGTGAATTGAAAAATTCTGAATTAATCGTTTCTGGTCAGAATCGGCAAGGAGGCCGGGCGGTTAAGCAAAAGCAGAATTGAAGCAGTGATTTGCGAGTTCGAGACCGCAAAATGCTGTGAATTTTCTGCGATGTTAAGAATCGGCGACAGGCCTAGGGCCTAATTAACGCTGAAACCGCTATTAATTAATGAATATGACTGCATTACTAGTAAAGGGTACTTTATTGTAGAGTGCAGATTGGAGCTAGGTAAATTGCAAATTTTTTCATTAGAGCCTTTTCTTAACTAATGTAAATAAAATATCGTTTATTCTATTCATTTTTTTTATGTTGAAACCTAATGGTACTATTTAAGAGTTGCGGATCACATTGCGATTGAATTTATCACCGACTTCTTCAGCACCATTCATCCAACTCCAAGGCTCCAACACGTGGCCTGTCATTATTAGGCTGTCAACAACTGCGAGGTGAAGGTAATCGTCGTTATGCTGAACCAGATTCCACAGGCCACTGTAATCCATCAAAATAAAAAATATGAGTTCAAACAGTATTTGTTCCGCTCCCTTCTCTCCCTGGATAAATGCGTGAGTATTCAGTTTCCCCAAGCCCTAATTCACCATAAATTTGTATTTTGCACTTATGAAGTAAGGTACCTAGTACTAGTGGCTAGCCTAGTGAGTATAACTATAAGCCTACTGCCTACAGCCCACCCAGCAGACAGCCCTACACTAGTACAAAATAAGTACAATAATTATTAACTCTGAAATGACTGGAAGTGATTGCTAGAATAGAACACTAAGAACAGTTCTCACTAAAGATTTCACCTCTGACTTTTAAATTGACTGCTTTTCCATTTTGGTTAAAAATCTAAAATTTTGATTTATTTAGTTTTTGTTTTGAATTTAAAGCTTCAAATCTGCCAGGGTGCAGACTATATCAACTTCGAAACTGTACATATTTTAAAATTGAGTTGTTATGAGACCATAACTGAGAAAATGTTGCTCAATGGGTTAGTCCTGTCGTAAATGAGACTTTCGTTATTACCGGGCGATGCTCTTCCAAACGCATAAGTACTCACAATAATTCCCTGCCACCATGGTGCAGACTGCGGACTCACTGCAGGGCGCAGGCTGGAATTCTAAGAATGGAAGTTCACTTATAAAAAAGCTTTCCACCCAGGGTTGGTGATTTTTTTTATTTAAAAAAAAGCAAAAATCAATGATTTTTTTTTCAGGATTTATTTGATTTTTTGTATTTTTTCAGTTTTAGGGTAAATGCGGTATATTCTGACACATTAAGGACGCATTGAGAAATGAAAAACTATAAAAAAAAACGTATGCGTTACGTAAGTTCTGTTGCCTTCACCGCTTCACGTGACTCTCAAAACACTTCACTACGCGTCAGCAATGATGAAACGTCACAAAATGTTGCCATATTTATTAAAAAGCCTTTAGAATGGAAACCTACCAAATCCCTATATTCCGTCACTTTGTGTGGCAACATCCGACACGTGGTGAGTCGTATTGCGT